TAAAAAATGTTTGACAGTTTCCACTCATTTTTTTAACCCTCTTCCCATGAATTCTGAGATGTGAAGTTTGTTATTTTGAAATGATTTTCGAAAAAAAAATTATAATGTACATGGATTATACAAGCATTTTTAAAAATCAAAATAACTTGTAACGTAATTACTATACTTTGATTACCATATGCATGGGAGAAAAATCCCGTTATAATAAAATAATTTAATGCACGCACTTGAAAACATATATACATGTATTTCACAGCGGTTTTTTTTTTTTTATTATTTTTTTGTTTATTTCGTGAAATCAAAGACGAAAAATGTATTGATAAACACCTTTTAATTTTTTTTCTGATTTTTTTTTTTCATGCGTCACGTGTTTCAACATTCTTCATAGTTCTTTGAAAGTATGAGTACGTGCATCATGTAAGTTGTCACTAGTTGTGGAGTGAATAAAGAAACACTTTTATATCTGGCATCACACACTTTTTTTTTTAGTCAAAAGAAATTCTTCACCGAATAAACAGATAAATGGAAATGATTATCTTAGTGCAACATTTAAATTTTAAATTTCTCTCAAATACTCAAATTCTCACTAAGAGCTTAAAGTATTTTTAAAATACTTTTGCAGGTGCCCCCTTTCGCCCCCCCCCCCCCCCCCGAAGGCAAACAAACTGAACAGTGACTGGACTCCATTAAAGACCCTCTACACATATAACAAAATGTTTTTGGACATTGAGAAAATTATATTGTGTGAGGGTGGACATATTGAGCTAATCTATTTCATTTTCAACATAGGGTACCTGGCTTTTACCCCCAGGAGAAATGTTCAAAGATAATGGAGTACTGCTGATCAGAAATCACTGTTGTATACTCGTGTGAGAAGAATACATGCCAATAAAGTGTTCATTTAAGGTCAGTTGACACGTTCCTCAATAATAAAATTTTTTCCAAGAATTTGTCATTGAAGTATTGCTACTTTAACAAGTTTCCTCATGCACAAAAAATTAAGGTACCTTACCAGCCATTTTTGTAAGATACTAGAGGATGCCATTTACTATAGAACCCTATTGGAAATCACTAATATTGTCAATATCACAATTCTTTAGTGTCCTTATCTACTTAAACATTTTGAAAACAGTTTAAAAATCACAAGTCAATGATAATTATGGTTAATTTGTTGTATACTGATTACGAAGAGATACAAAACAGATATTCAAGTAACGTGTCGTCATGCAGACCTTAATTTATCCTGTCCTATTAAAGTGTTCAGAATGCTTGAATTGATGACAAATTGAGTACACGCTTTATTTCAATTTCTAGGGGTAGATCGTAATCAGAGCTCTTTAGTGTGCAGTGTAGACAGGGTTCTTAAGGACTCTATCTACGACGTTTCCTAATATGCCTGCCCTATAGAACTCGTGTAAAAAATCAATTTTAAACATAAAGCAGGCTTTGTCTATCCCACAGATAGAGTAATCAATTCTACGAATTTAAAGTCGTAAAATCCAATTCTAATGTATACAATGAATATTATATTTCAAATGGAGTATCCGGTACCGTGGTCCCATTATCATATTTAATTTTTTCGAACCAGACATAAAGGAAACACTGGACTTTGAATTCAAGGTGGTTTAAATAAATAGAATTTCGCGTTAAATCCAAACAAATTCACAATTAGTTTTCACACTTTGACGATTTTTTTACAAAATGATCTCGCACTTTGAAACATGCATGTACTTGTACATGTTGTATACAAGACAAGAAAATAACAAATGATATAATGTCTTCCTTTTTCTTAACTCTTCCTATTCTATCTTAAAAAAAGGATCTGAAGACGATATCTAGATATATCCAATATATGTACAACCACGTTATGTTTCTATACGTACTGTATTTCTCTCTTCAGTTTGAACTTTCTTTTCCTGTTTATGCTGATTTTTATCCCCTGCTCATAGATTTCGATAGTTTTGTTTGAATACGCATTTAACATCATACTACAATATTTTATTTATTTATTCACCATATTATTTTTCTCCCGCGTTTTTGTGCATTTCAAGTTGTCATTTGGGTAACATAATTTTATATTTCGGTATTTATTGTAATATTGTATATATTACATATACATGCAACTGTAAGATCATTGAAACAAATAATAATAATAGTAAGTCAAAGCTATTGTATTTAATTGCATGCAGATAATGATTAAAACAAGATGTGATTGTGAAACACTGATGCCCCCGTATTGCAACTTATAGCAAAGGTTAAAACTTTCTCAAATGCAAAACAAATATGTTGGTACCACTGGCGGATTTAGAAAGGGGGGGGGCTAGGGAGCCCGGGTCCCTCTTTTGTGTCCAAAATGTACATAAGATTTAATAAATCAATTGTTTTTGGGTGTGGCCGCGGGCCCCTACCCCGACCCCAAACTGGTCGGGCCCTCCTTTTCAAGATTCCTGGATCCGCCACTGGGTACCCAAAGTAAGGTCTTGACTCAAGGAATATACCTGTGAAATATGAAAGCCCTAGTAGCAACCATTGAATAGATATGGAAAAGGTTAAAGTTTTTTCAAAAGTATGTCAAACATTAAGGTCAAGGTCAAGTGGTCAAAATTAATGGTGCCCAAGGAAAGGCCTTCTCCCAAGAAATACACAGGTGAAATATGAAAGCCGAAGCACCAATAATTCAAAAGTCATGACCAAGGTAATTATTTTTCAAAAGTGGGTCAAACTCCAAAGTCAAGGTCAATGGATTACAATTGTTGGTATCCAAAGGAAGGCCTAGGTCAAGTTGTCACAAGGAATAGACATGTGAAGTATGAAAGCCCTAGCACTAACCGTTCAAAAGTTATCGTGAAGATTAAAGTTTTTCAAAAGTAGGTCAAACTCCTAGGTCAAAGTCAAAAGGTCAAAGTTGTTGGTATCCAAAGGAAGGTCTAGATCTTGTCATAAGGATTACACATTTGTGAAGTATGAGAGCCCTAGCACAAAATGTTCAAAAGTTATGGCCAAGGTTAAAGCTGGGTAAAATCTTGCAAAACTGGGTCAAACCCCAAGGTCAAATATGATGGTACCCAAAGAAAGGTCTTGTCAAAACATGCAATTTAAGGACATACGCAACGTACCTTACCTACAGATAAGTTTTTAAGATATTCTTAATTTAAGATTATAGTGCAATTAGATGTTCGTAGACAAAAAATCAGCATGCATTACCAGGGGTTTTGAAAAGATATCAATTGATGAAAATTCTTGTATAATTCAAAGAAAAATATACAAAAATTACTAAACATAGATTCTAGATGTTTTATTTATCCAAACTTGTTTTAGAAGAAGTGTACAGCAGCATACATAGACATTAAAATGTAACACACAGTTCCTTTAAGTATTGGAACTCTTCAACTCCAGTGAAAAAGACAATAAAGTTCAAACTACGTTGCGTATGTCCTTAAGGAATATTAAACATGTGAAATATGAAAGCCATAGCTTCAACCAATCAAAAGTTATGGGCTAGGTTAAAGTTTTTGCGGACAAACAGACAAACGGACGGACAGGGCAAAAACTGATCTTCGATACGGGGGCATAAAAATAAATAAATAAATAAAAACAAGCAGGTTTAATAATACGAATAAATATGTGTACCGGTTATTGAAATAGCAAAGCTTCTGCGTGATCAAGACTTTTAGCGCCATTTGTGAAAATGAAACTAGGCTTATGTGAAAGGTGATTTTAATAAAAGTTCACGTGGCTCTGGTTAAGAAAGATAGAAGTAAGAATTCTTTGTTGTAATATTGAATGTTTTAACCTATTGTTCTAGTGAAGTCTTTGCTCAAGAAGGTTGATTGAAAGTCACACGTTATTTGAAATGCAGAACATGCATGTTTTAGTTTTTATCGTGCTGTGGTTCTTGCAAGATAAAAACATATTCTCATATGTTTCTGAATTTCGAAAGGTATACATTAAAAAAAAAACCCAAACATTATTTTTTTTTTAAATGTAGGTGTGTATTTTAGATTAAGGTCTTATCCCCAGCATGTGTCTAAAAAATCATTTTGCAGCAACAGTAAGGCACAGCAGACTTGAGAGTGGGGGTCAATGCTAAGTTTCTCTTGAGTTTAAAGGGAAAGAATGAATAGCTATTCCAGTTAATGCCATTTTTTGCAAAGTTAGATAACTCGTGTTTGTGACCTGGCGGCCATCAACATTCGAATTTGTTATGTGAAGTAAACAATGATACTAAATAAATTGAATATTCTGATCTATCTGTAAGGACAGTTGACAATTAAAGATTACGTAAGTAGTTATTTTGTTTTCCGATATAATCTTATATGTTTTAGATAGAAAAAAAATATTTTGATAAGAATATTTTGATGAAAATGTATGTTGAATAGGAAGTGTAGCATGTACACTATTTTTCCAGATTGTCTTTACGTTTTTAGTGTTTGCACAAATTTGCTACTTTCTAAAGATTTTAAACATTATTTAAGATTTTTTCATGCCTAAACGAAGTCCCCAACATGTAGCACAAAAGTGCACAGACTTTTGTAAAATTTTATCTTCGTCGGGATTGGAGACATAGTTGGTATTTCATAATTTGAAGAAAATAAAGTGCTGACAGCTCAAAATACCTATAAATATAAGGAAATTTTTGCAATTTAAAATACATTTCTTAATTTTTCTAACTTGAAAATTATTCAAACGTTAAATTCAGTCATCTATATTTTGCTTAATTTCAATCGCGCTCGAAATACTTCTGATAGTTATCTTCCCTGATTTGCTCTCCTGGGTCACAGACGTTGTCAGTGTTTGGGTATTTTTGGGCATCAATATTTAGTTTATTGTGTGAAATTCCTTAAAAAGAATGCTTATTCTTTTCATTCTATGGACTTAACTTCCTAGAAATCAAAGATTTGCATTGAAATTCCTCTTTTTAATTTTTAGGTGGATTAGCTAGAAAGAAGTATAAAACTGATATTTCACAATACATTTTACTTATTTACTTGCAGTTATAATCTCTGAAAGGACCATGTTTTCTGCATTTGCCAAATTGTTAAGTTTTTTTTTGAATGATGAAGAAGATACATCAGAGGACAATGAATTATCTGCAAAAGAAGTAAATGATGAAGACAAAGGCAAGTGTTATCTTCTGTTTTGAAGTTAAAGATTAATTGTATTGAATGTTATGAAACAGCATAGATTTAACCATTTTTTATCAAGTTAGTTGCCAATGGTAAGTTTTTTTTTTTAAAATACTCAAATGAATTCATTAGCATAGCATACACATGCATAGAAGTAATTAAGTTCATTTTTAAAGCTAATGGACTGATGTGTGTAGTTTTCACTAGAGGACAAAATTTCAATTGTTTTCATTCTTACTTGGAGAAGTAGGAAAGTATAAGTCCCCATTCATTAAAAAAAAGTACAAGTAGATTGATGTAGTGTTTACTTGAAATAATCTTTGATAAAGGAGACAGGAATTGGCCTTTTTTTCATTGTGTAGTTCTTCCATATGATTACATTTTCAGTACATATTAATTTTATTTTAGTTTTAATTGTTAAGAGTAGTTTTTCTTGGTACATGATTCACAGCTAGTAGTACACAGTTAATAATTACTCTAGTGTTCTGATTGTTTTTGAATTCTCTTTACTAGGTCTTGATGGCACAGATGAGAAAGAAGGATTATCTAAGAGTTCACATGGAAAGGTCACTCACATCTACAATGATTATGGTCTTATAGATGGGGAGATCTTTTTCACATTCCAAACTGTCTTGTCAGAAAAAAGACTAGGGTATGGGGAAGAAGTCAGTTATGTTGCTAAACGGGAAACCCTGGGATCTGGTTGGCGTGCTACTCAGGTTGCCTTAGCAACCAGCTGGGATGTTGACAGTGATGAGGAGGAGGATAAATCAATGGTGGGGATCATTGAAAAATTCAACGGAGAATTCGGCACCATTAATGGACATGTCCAGTTTAGTCTGGCCGCAGTATGCTTGGATAACTATGTTCCTTGTGTAGGTGACTATGTCACAGTTGATGTGAAAAGGATATGCGGGCTGTTGGAGGCAACCAATATGAAGCCCCTGAGGATGTTTGAAAAGGAAGGACAGATCTCTGCAGTGCAGCAGGACCATGGGTACATTGACGGAGACACATTTTTCACCCTGGCAGCTTGCTGTGATGGCTTCAATCCTCGAAAATGGGACAGAGTTCAAACTGTGGTCATTGAGAGTTCTCGGGGCCAGTGTAGCTGGAGGGCTATATCGATCAAACCTTTGATTGTGAATCCTACTCTGAGGTAACAAAATAAGACTGGGTCCTCTGTAATGCTTTAAATTTTCTTAATTTGATAGAAAACACAGAGAAAGGCTTAATATGAGGATACATGTGTAATGCATATTTTCATTGATGACTTTAAAATGTTTACAATTAAATTTTGTATTAAACAAATTTGATTCAAAATTTTAAAAATGTTTTTAATATAAAGCTTGCAGTGTTGTAAATTCAAATCTTTTTGATGAAATCTGAGTAAACATAAAGTGAACTTTCAGTGTCTCAGCTTTTGCTAGTCCCATGAAATCAACCTTCCTTGATGATCTCCAAAAAAACAAGAATGGCATACATGTGTCTGTGGAAACTGATTTTGGGAAAGTGGATGTAGGGGAGAGACGTAAATTGACTGTGTGGGTCCAAAACAAGGGGGAGACAGAACAGGTGTTTCTGAGGGCGCATCTGCCACCAGAGTGTAAACAGGTCAACATTGAAGGTAATAAAATGTAGGAGAATACTAATTACCCTGGAGTATTAAATTGTCCTGATGCCAATAATCCTGTTGCTTCATCTTCCAGACATTGCTTTTCTGCAGTATTTATCTTGCTTCGTAAATCTTTTTTTCTAGAAAAACTTGAGGCTATTCAGTCATTCTGAATCTTAAAAATTTATCTAGACAATTTGATTAGAGACAGAACTGGCTGTTTGGATTTGATTTAAGAATGAAGGTGTCATTAATAAGCTGAATCTGCATGGCAACAGCTGCATATATACAGTCAGACCTCGTTATTTCAAACTTGACGGGACCGAGAAAAAACTTTGAGATATCCAAGGGTTCAAGATATTGAAGGTAAAATACTTAAGAAATACGTGGTTAGGACTTCTCAATCACTTTGACGTATTCATGGTATTCGAGATATCCGTGTTCGAGATACCGAAGTTCAACTGTATAGATAAGTAAAGAATGATAGGGTAAGTCAGGGTAATTTCGACCACCATTTAATTCCGACCACAGGAACACAACACCACACAAAGATCTACGGAAGTGTTAAGACAAGTTTAATTTATTCGGAATTATAGAAAACTATTCCTCAAATAGTGTTTCCTAGTATAATTATTCATCGCAAATATAGCTTGATCAGAGATATAAATAATATTTTTACTATCATTTATGTCTCCAGTTCGACGTTCGATGTCCCTGTCTTCAGTGCGCTTGATTTGATCAAGGAAATGCAAGAGAGACAACTGGTACAACCTCTTTGACCTTGTTCAACAGTCTACAGCACGAATTAAATTAAAATTGTTTTATTTTTTCTTGGAATATCTTTAAGTTGCAGAATTTTACAAATTTATCTTGGATTTCTCTCAAAATGCACAAGAAACGTCCATATGATTTTGGTCGAAATTACCCCTACTGATTTTAAGGACGCGGGGTAAATTCGACCACTTATTCTGAAATATGTGTAAGTTGTCTTTAACAACTGTTTAATGCAATGCAGAGTTAGATCTTCAAAAAAAAAAAGAAAAGATTATACTGTATATTTACAATATAAAATACATATAACCTTTTATATTAAAAAAAATATATCAGATTAATTAACATGTGCATGCCTAGCTTTATATATTGTCCGGGCCGTTCACGAGGGTGCATCACTGATCGACGTGTGAGAGAACACGTAGTCGGCACTGGCTTTGAAATAACACATGGCGAGAGCAATCCATAAGATTCCAAACCTGTCAAATTAACAAAAGAGAGGATGCAGGCAATATTAAATATATGTAAAAAAAAATCAGGTTTTTGTAATTTTTTTCATCATTACAAATGCGTTTTGCGGACAAGACTGAGGCTATCGAAAACCAACGAACCAGTCGTATTAAGATCGCATCACACAGTCAAGGTACACAAATCCAAATAGTACCCAAAATATCAGAACAACACACCAAAAGAGCCACAACAATCTTGAAACACAAAAAAAACTGATGTTACACGAAATAAATGATTTCTTTGAGTTTGGGTTTTTTTTTGGGGGGGGGGGGGTCAGAGGACTTTGCTTCTATAAATCTTTATTTAATCATCGTTGGAAACCCACGGTCGGTCTCGACCGACCGTGGGTTTCCGAAGATCTATTTAATTGACTTGATCGAATTTCTCAGGATCTATCTCTTTTAAGAATTATAAAAAAAAACACGTAAAAAATATGTAAAACCACGCATTCCAAATGAATGTGTATATTATGGTAAAAATTAGTGAAGAAAAATATACACAATTCTAATGCTATGCTCAAAACTTGTACATATTATATTATATCATATATATACAATATATATATATATATATATATATATATATATATATATATATATATATATATATATATATATATATATATATATATATATATATATATATATATATATATATATATATATACAATTTGAATGATTCTGTTGTGAAAAGACGATATTAAATAAAATCCTTTTGGGCTGAACAATTTAAAAATCATAACAAAGAAATTATTTGTGGAATCTGAGAAAATTTTATCTATTTGCATAACTTTATAACACAATTTTAAAATATAGAATTAGGGAATTAAAAGCAGAATTTAGAATAAAGAATAAGAATTAAGATGTCTATAAGACAACATTGAAAAGCTTAAGTAACCCAACCCAATTCTTTACTGTATGGATACTAGTACTTATTCATTTTAATCTTTTTATTGAGAGAGATAGATACACGTATTTTCTAAATAAGGCAATATAGTTTCTCGGACCATAAATTTTGAATAAAATGCGACAAGTAAAGTTTACATGCATTGCAAGAGTTACCTTTCTTTTTGATGTTTGTTGTGGTCGAAATTACCCCGAGGCCGGTCGAAATTAACCCATGCAACATGCTTACTTATTTCTAAACCAATTCATTATTTTTTATGCATTTTTTAACTCCTAAAGCAAAAAATATGAAGAAAAAATCATTCTCAATTACTTTTAATCTTTTTTAAACTAGTACATTTGAAAACAGTTGTGTTTTGTGGATTGAAAGCCACAAATCAGCATAAGTGGTCAAAATTACCCCAGTCTACCCTAGCAATTTTTGTTATATAAATTCAGTGTATATTGTGATATTCTAATGGGAGGAAAAAAGTCAAATACTAACTTCAGAACATTGTTTTAAATTTTAAATATTTTACTTCAGTTTAGGTACATGTACCAAAAACTGAGCTTCCTTGTAGATCATATTAATCCCTTTGGACATTGTATTTACTATAGAGACCTTTTGATTTATTTTTTAGACATTGTATTTACTATAGAGACATTTTGATTTATTTTTTAGACATTGAATTTACTATAGAGACCTTTTGATTTATTTTTTAGACGTTGTATTTACTATAGAGGCCTTTTGATTTGGACATTCTATTTACTATACAGACCTTTTGGGTTTTTTTTTTTTAGACATTGTATTTAATATAGAGACCTTTTGATTTATTTTTTAGACATTGTGTTTACTAAAGAGACCTTTTGATTTATTTTTTAGACATTGTATTTACTATAGAGACCTTTTGATTTAGACATTGTATTTACTATTAACTTACTATAGAGACCTTTTGATTTATTTTTTAGACATTGTATTTACTATAGAGACCGTTTGATTTATTTTTTAGACATTGTATTTACTATAGAGACCTTTTGATTTATTTTTTAGACATTGTATTTACTAGGGATGTCAACGAATATTCGAGTACTCGACTATCGTTCGATCACACCGACTATCGACTAAAATTTCTTTAGTCGGTTATTCGTTAAAAATGTGTTACCTAAAAGTAATTTTAAATTTAATGTTATAAACTTGGATCCTCCCATTTCATTTATTTACAGATCAATATTCTCGTAAGTAAAAAACTCAGGGTATGGTTTAACTGTTCAAAAGAAATTATTTGTATATCGATTTATGTTCGGCAAATATGCCTCCAAAATCTACAGTTTTGATGTCAGGATGGAAAAACAGTTTTACGTTATCAAGATTATGTGAAACTGAACTCGTATTCTGCAATGGAAAATCAAATATGATGTATCATGTGCCGAATCGGTCAAACATATACACAGTCTTCAAGTGAAACTTTCGTAGTACGTTCTCCACAAAAATGCCAAAAAAGCAGAGCCGGAAATAAAAATGTTGCTATCACAAACGTGACTATCAAGGATTATCTACCACATATTGTTGTAAATAGAGAGGACGTTCAAGAATTGTTTGGTTTTGTAGATTTAAATTATAAAGTTCCATAAGATTCCATAAAATGCAACTATTCATAAAGAATATTTAAAAAGCTGTTACAAAATTGTAAATACGTGTAAATTTGGGGACAGTTATGAGTGTAATTAAATGGTGTTTCTTTCTGATATTGATACCATACAGTCATTTTAAGATTGTATTGATTGGACAAAATCTCATAATTAAAATTTATCGCAAGCTCTCTCTGTTTTTATAAGAGGCACGCTTCAATTGTTTACCAAAGGTCACTGATTGTTTACCAGTCAAAGGACACTAACACGACACCTAGAAATGGCTTCAATTAACGGGTACATGTACTATCGTTATGAAAAGAAAGGACAAATGCGAGCGTTTTATATCCTGCATTTAGATAGAATGTGCAGTAAATGCTATATTAATTTTTAAATCAAATACATTGGATACATGTAGATATAGATGTACAGTATTTATTGTACTATGTAAATGTTTACGATTCAGAAATTTGTTGTATAATGGTGATAGCATAGGTTAGATATTGTACAACTAGTCTATAAAAGATAAATATTGATGACATGAAAAATTAATTTAAATTTCAACGAATATTCGACTATCGTTCGACTAAAGCCTCCGACTATTTGACTTAGCTGTCCGAATAAAATTGACATCCCTAGTATTTACTATAGAGACCTTTTGATTTAGACATTGTATTTACTGTAGAGACCTTTTGATTTAGACATTGTATTTACTGTAGAGACCTTTTGATTTAGACATTGTATTTACTATAGAGACCTTTTGATTTACTTTTTAGATATTGTATTTACTATAGAGAGCTTTTGATTTGGACATTGTATTTACTATAGAGACCTATTGATTTAGACATTGTATTTACTATAGAGACCTTTTGATTTACTTTTTAGATATTGTATTTAGGCCAAACAAAAAAATATGTGTGGTTCCGGTTACACCTCCAAAAAAATTAGGGTAGGTAGGGAGGGATTTTTTTTTTTTTAAACAAAATAATTTTCTTAATTTTTCTAAATAATACCTATCACTGCTTTGCAAGTGGCATTTAGATGTGGTGTGATAATATACTAGTCAATATTGGTAGGGGACACCTACATGCTAACTTGCTTTGGATTTAACACTATTAAACACTTGCACTATGTTTTGCAAAGAGGCCGTCATTGCTGAAACTAAAACTTAAACCGGAGCTATTGATGGAAATCGGGGAAAATTCTGGAAAATATATGAAAATTGCCAAAAAAAAGTTTAGGGTAGGGGGTATAAAATAGGGACGGTCGGGTAATTGGAACCACATATATTTTTTTATTTGTCCTTACTATAGAGACCTTTTGATTTATTTTTTAGTCATTTTATTTACTATAGAGACCTTTTGATTTATTTTTTAGACATTGTATTTACAGTACTATAGAGACCATTTGATTTATTTTTTAGACATTGTATTTACTATTTAAACCTTTAAATTTGATTTATTTTTTTAGGAGTGAAATACTTAAGTGAACATACAGCCATGATGAAATCTGGGAATGTTGAAGTCAAGAAGGGAAAGATAACTCTGTATCCAGCTATGTCACTGTATATCAATGTATCACTAGAAGCAAAGTATGTGTGAATTTGCTTGCCCTTTTTTGTAAATGTTTATTCATTTTGACAGTGAACACACCGCAAGATTCATTTGTATTGTCTCCTTTCATATGTACAAATCAGAGGTCTGATTGTGGCATAACTATTAATATAAGTTCACGCTTCAATGTGAGCTGCAAATTGATTAATTAATTTTCTTGAACCTTTGAAGAAATTTGATATTATATAATGGAAGATGACAATCTCCATTTTCTTTCTTTTTTCCTTTGTTGCAGATTCCCTGGAATAGAGAAACAGCTTTTGGTGGTAACTTTTGAGAAGTTCCGTATTGGACGGTACATCACAGCAGAAATCGCTGACCCATATCACAGTTTGGTACCAGTTGGGTCAGCGTACAGAAGTGAACAGCAAATGTCACCTTTCAGCAAATACCGAACCTCAGCCAATGCAGGTCAAGGTTGGGTGGTTCCAGGTGAACGGCCACAGAGGTAAGTCATGCGTACAATGTAATATCATATGATAAATACTGTTGTAAATCATGTGTCAGAACACAAGAATGGGACATTGATGATTTAAACATGATTGACCCAAGACCTGGCACCTACATGAATGGCAGTTTTAGTGCTTTACAAAATGAAGGAGAAAAATAGACAATGGGACTGAGAAAATACATGTGATATTTATAGAAAGTGTTCAGGTGTAAAACTCTATGTAATGTGATCAATGTGATACTCTGTGTAGTACAGTGTATTTTATCTAAAAACCTTTATTTTTGGTAAAATTTCAAGTTCTAATTGTCTTTTTAGCTCGCCTGAGCTGAAAGCTCAAGTCTGTCCGTCCGTCTGTAAACTTTTCACATTTTCAACTTCTTCTCAAGAACCACTGAGCCAATTTTAACCAAAGTTGGTACAAAGCATCCTTTGGTGAAGGGGAGTTTAAATTGTTAAAATGAAGGGCCAACCCCCCTTACAAGGGGAGATAATCAAGAAAAGACAAAAATTGGGTGGGGTAATTAAAAAATCTTCTTCTCAAGAACCACAGGGCCAGAAAAGCTGAAACTTATGTGGAAGCATCCTTGGGTAGTGGAGATTCTAAATTGTTCAAATCATGGCCCCCGGGGGTAGGGCGGGGCCACAATACGGAATCAAAGTTTTACATTAGATATATAGGCAAAATCTTTGAAAATCTTGTTCTCAAGAACCACTGGGCCAGAAAAGCTGAAACTTATATGGAAGCATCCTTGGGTAGTGTAGATTTTAAACTGTTCAAATCATAGCCCCCAGGGGTAGGACGGGGCCACAATAGGGAATCAAAGTTTTACATTGAAATATATAGGCAAAATCTTTGAAAATCTTCTTCTCAAGAACCACTGGGCCAGAAAAGCTGAAACTTATATGGAAGCATCCTTGGGTAGTGTAGATTCTAAATTGTTCAAATCATAGCCCCAGGGGGTAGGGCGGGGCCATGATAGGGAATCAAAGTTTTACATTGAAATATATAGGCAAAATCTTTGAAAATCTTGTTCTTAAGAACTACTGGGCCAGAAAAGCTGAAAATTATGTGGAAGTATCCTTGGGTAGTGTAGATTTTAAACTGTTCAAATCAAGGCCCCCGGGGGTAGGGCGAGGCCACAATAGGGAATCAAAGTTTTACATTGAAATATATAGGCAAAATCTTTGAAAATCTTCTCAAGAACCACTAGGCCAGAAAAGCTGAAACTTATATGGAAGCATCCTTGGGTAGTGTAGATTCTAAATTGTTCAAATCATAGCCCCAGGGGGTAGGGCGGGGCCATGATAGGGAATCAAAGTTTTACATTGAAATATATAGGCAAAATCTTTGAAAATCTTGTTCTTAAGAACCACTGGGCCAGAAAAGCTGAAAATTATGTGGAAGCATCCTTGGGTAGTGTAGATTTTAAACTGTTCAAATCATGGCCCCCGGGGGTAGGGCAGGGCCACAATAGGGAATCAAAGTTTTTCATTGAAATATATAGGCAAAATCTTTGAAAATCTTCTTCTCAAAAACCACTAGGCCAGAAAAGCTGAAACTTATATGGAAGCATCCTTGGGTAGTGTAGATTCTAAATTGTTCAAATCATAGCCCGCGGGGGTAGGACGGGGCCACAATAGGGAATCAAAGTTTTACATTGAAATATATAGGCAAAATCTTTGAAAATCTTCTTCTCAAGAACCACTGGGCCAGAAAAGCTGAAACTTATGTAGAAGTGTCCTTGGATAGTGTAGATTCTAAAATGTTCAAATCATAGCCCCAGGGGGTAGGGCGGGGCCATGATAGGGAATCAAAGTTTTACATTGAAATATATAGGCAAAATCTTTGAAAATCTTGTTCTTAAGAACCACTGGGCCAGAAAAGCTGAAAATTATGTGGAAGCATCCTTGGGTAGTGTAGATTTTAAACTGTTCAAATCATAGCCCCCGGGGGTAGGGCGGGGCCACAATAGGGAATCAAAGTTTTTCATTGAAATACATAGGCAAAATCTTTGAAAATCTTCTTCTCAAGAACCACTGGGCCAGAAAAGCTGAAACTTATATGGAAGCATCCTTGGGTAGTGTAGATTCTAAATTCTTTAATTCATGGCCCCCGTGGGTAGGGCGGGGCCGCAATAAATATTACAAAGGGGAGGTCTTGTGAAGAACAGCAGGTCCAAAGTTACTCAGGTGAGCGTTGTTGCCCATTGGCCTCTTGTTCTTTTTGTTTTGAGAAGAGAGCTTTTAGTATGTCTCTTTTTATGTCTTTTCAAAACTTCACAACTGGATATATATAACTCCTGAAGTATTTTGAGATAGCCAGCAATCAAATATTTATTGATTTTGTTATTCTTCAAACTTCTGTTAATAAGTAAATTCACAGGTATAAATCAAAGGTCAAATATCAATTAATGTATGGAATTGACCTGAAAATAATTTTTAAGAACGTTTTTTGCCTTTTTTTTAGAGGTGGAAGGAAACACATTTTGAAATTACCCAATCGTCTTCCACAATACCCTGTGCCCCAGTTACTGCGGAACTTCATTCTCAATGGTGACCAGATTTTGGAAATCTGTCCAGAGCTTACACAGGTTAATGTAACTCTATATTTACTATGTTTACTAGTAGTCTATATTTACTATGTTTACTAGTAGTACCACTTATAAGTCAGTCTGTCTTGCAATCCTTCTTCTTATCTTTGATCTAATATGGGTTCCAGGTTTTAGATCTGACCATAATTATTTGGTGACTAGGCAAGGACAAGTTTAACAATTACATTACCTAAGCATATCTGCTATATCAGTAGATAAATGTAATTCTTTTACAAAAAAATTCAAGAACTGGAATGACCTTGTGTGCTTGTCAAATTGGAAAATTTAATTAAGTAAAAATGCAGTCACGTTTTCTGAAAATCATTGATTTTGTCATTGATTTTGGTAATGTTTGATGTTCAACAAATAAGGATACTGGATCAACAGTTTGTTCATTCCATTATTTCGAGTTCAAGATAACCTGTTTACTTCCAGGATTTAACCACTGAGAATTATGTGAAGAAAATGAAAACCCTTCTTCATTTGGAGGAGATACAGATGGATATAGACATCAGAGAATTCGACTTAAGCAGGGTATGTAATTTGAAAAAATAATGAAATTCATTGCAAAAGAATTAATTAGTATCAAAATGTTTTGTCTTGAGTATTATATAAGTTCATAAGACAGGTGGTTACATTTACAGATCAATCTGAAGTAAAATTTTTAGAAATAATTCATGAATTACACAATAATAACAGAATAAATGAATTGTAGGTTCCTCTTAGACCGGTTGGGGAGTTTCTTGGGTTAGCAGTACCTGGACTGGCAGAGGGACGACCTTCAGTGTTGCTAGGAGACAAGGTCATGCTCTCTGATCCCTCAGATCCACAGGGGCCTGTTTATGAAGGATATGTTCATGAGGTAGAACATATTTGAAGTGCTTGATGATTGCATTAAAAAATAAGACATGTTTGTGAAACACTGATGTCCCTGTACGGCAGCTAATGGCAAAAGTTAAAGTTTCTAAAAAGCAAGTCGAACTCCAGGTCAAGAGATCAAAAATGTTGGTTCCCAAATAAAGGTTTTGTTTGTCTCAAGGAATATACATGTGAAATATGAAAGACCTAGCACGAACTGTTGAAAAGTAATGGAGAAGTTTAAAGTTTTTCAAAAGTAAGCAAACGTCAAGGTCAAATGATAAAAGTTAATGGTGTCAAAGGGAAGGTCTTGTAACAAGAAATGCACAAGTGAAACATGAAAGCCCTAGCTCCAACTGCTCAAAAGTAAGGGCCAAGATTAAAGTTTTTCAAAAGTAGGTCAAACTCTAAGGTCAAGGTCAAAGGGTCAAAGTTGTTGGTATCCAAAGGAAGGTCTTGTCACAAGGAACACACATTTGAAGAATAAAAGCCCGAGCTCCAACCCTTTAAAAATTATTGCTAAGGTTAAAGTTTTTTACAAAGAAGGTCAAAGTTCCAAGGTCAAGGTCAAAATTGCTGGTACCCTAGGAAAGGTTTTGTCACAAGAAATGCACATATGAAATATGAAAGCCCGCACCAATTGTTCCAAATTTATGGCCAAGGCTAAAGTTTTTTAAATGTAGGACAAACTCCAAGGTCAAGGTCAAAAGGTCAAAGTTTTTGGTATCCAGGAAAATCTTATCACAAGGAATACACATGTAAGGGATGAAAGCCCTAGCACCAACTGTTCAAACATTATGGCCAAGGTAAGTTGGGTAAAATTTTGCAAAAGTGGGTTAAACTCCAAGGTCAAGGTCTAGAGGTCAAATATGATGATTCCCAAGGAAAGGGCTTGTCACAAGGAAAACACATGTGAAATATGAAAGCCATAGCTCCAACCAATCAAAAGTTATGGGCAAGGTTAAAGTTTTTGCGGACAAACAGACAGACAGACGGAGGGACAGGGCTCCAACCAATCAAAAGTTATGGACAAGGTTAAAGTTTTTGCAGACATACAAACAGACAGACAGACAGATGGATGTACAAGGCAAAGGCTATATGCCCCCGAATCTTCGATTACAAGGGCATAAAAATAAGATAGTATTTCTGAAGTTTTAAATTAAATTTGTCACTTTACAAAACATTGTAATCTTACCTGAACAAACTTTCATATAAGAATGTCGATGATACGTACATGTAGTTCATAGTTTTGCCATAATTGTCACAGGTTCTAAGTGAAGAGGTGCTACTGAAATTTAATTCAAATTTTCACCTGGGCTACAATGGGAAGGATTATAATGTACAGTTTACCTTTAACAGGTGGGTTCAACTTTCTCATACATATTGTCAATGAAGATTTAGATAATACAATTTTTTATGTTGTCAGGTAGGAGCTTGATGAAATCATTTTTATGAGATTCTTTTTGTCAGTTTACATTGTAATATAGAATTATGTATCAGGGTAAAACAAATCTTCTTGACATCTTACTTGTATATAAATCTGAAAACTGTTCAGCCATTCAGCCATTCAGCCATTCTTTATTAATTTTTTTGGGAACAGTACTATATTTTATTTTGAATACAGATCTTCTATCAGGAGATATATTTTTATTTTGAATACAGATCTTCTATCAGGAGATGCCATCAAGCAGTGCAGTTTGCAGCAAATTTGGATGAAAATGGTAATTATATAACTTAATGTATAATAAGATTTACAGATTCATTGATTCGACCAGTAATGTTTTCAGATAGATTGATGTACATATGCATGTAGGTACTCTTATTAATTTACACTCCAGTACAAGATTTTACAATTAGGGAAATCTATAAGTTCTACACAGGGGTGTCCACACTGTGGCTCAAACCTACAACCCTAAGATTTAAAATCCAACGCTCTACCTACTGAGCTAAAGGGTTAACCCACTAGCTAGTGCTAGTAGGAGCGTGGCCTCACTATATACAATGCATAGCCACTTTTAACTCTGTTACATATGTTTATTGTCAATGATCAGACAATCTGTTTGTCAATCTAACACATTGTATTCTGTTTTAGGTTCATTATAAATTAGAATATTACATTAATTATTCTAGTATAATAAATGAAGATCTAGCTGTGATTCTGATCCAATGTTTGCAGTTCTGTTTCCGTCCACCGTATGCCCTCGCCCATCTCAGCTGAAAAGAAGCTCCAGTGGTCCATCTCTGTCCAGACAGGCAGAAAGAAATGGTCAAAGATCTGATAGGACAATGCAATTCTACAATCCCGAACTAAACAAGAAACAAAAGGTGGCAGTATCTAGGATATTACACGGACAGTCTCGTCCTGTGCCTTATATACTGTTTGGACCCCCAGGTAATCTAGTGCTACAAATTTATAATCCAATGATAGAAATGATGACAAATATTGTATGATCAAACTTGGTTATTAAGTGCTTATATATACTGAATGTGTAATTAAAAAAGTGGGCTTTATGTTTTAGCGGCTTTGGCGCAAACAAGGATGTGCTAATTCATGAATACTGCTAAGAAATCATTTATATATACAATATAGACATGTTTAGCACTAATTCATGATTTAGCCAACAACTCCATATGTAGTGATTGCGCTAAATTTTTGAATACTCCAATTTATGTACACTTACAGGAGTTAGCCTAGTATTTAGAATTTGTTGACAGATCTTGTGTGATTGAGAACCAGAGTCGAAAAAGAATTCAAAGTTTTTCTAAAAGTCAAGCTTAATGTGAAACGTAAAATGCAACATTCTGTGTACAGTTTTGGTACATGCATGGTTTTCTATGAAGGAACATTGTAGGCAAATATGATTTGGAGAGTAGAGGAAATTGAGTATATTAACAAGTCTGAACATCATTATAAAACTGGTCATGATGGACAGACTGCAAATTATGAAGTCACCTTAACAATGATAGGAGATTGATTTTTTCCCAACATTTGACATGTAAATCATCTTACAGCAGAATAACTATCCTTTAATGCAAAGGAATAACCTATCTGTCACAGGTACTGGTAAGACTATAACAATTGTGGAGTTAATGCTACAGTATGTCTGTTGTTTTGTTGTAGGTACTGGTAAGACTATGACAGTTGTGGAGTCTATGCTACAGTGTGTCTGTTATTTTGTTGTAGGTACTGGTAAGACTGACAGTTGTGGAGTCTACACTACAGTATGTCTGTTGTTTTGTTGTAGGTACTGGTAGACTATGACAGTTGTGGAGTCTATACTACAGTACATGTATGTCTGTTGTTTTGTTGTAGGTACTGGTAAGACTATGACAGTTGTGGAGTCTATACTACAGTACATGTATGTCTGTTGTTTTGTTGTAGGTACTGGTAAGACTATGACAGTTGTGGAATCTATACTACAGTACATGTATGTCTGTTGTTTTGTTGTAGGTACTGGTAAGACTATGACAGTTGTGGAGTCTACACTACAGTATGTCTGTTGTTTTGTTGTAGGTACTGGTAAGACTATGACAGTTGTGGAGTCTATACTACAGGTGCTGACCCAGATTTCACACAGTCGAATATTAGCCTGTACCCCATCTAATAGTGCTGCAGACCTCATAGTAAGAACAAAATATAGCAGATCTTTCTTGCTTAAAAAATCCCCAGAAGTCTTAAATTGAATTCCATAAAGATCTGTTTGTAAAAATTAGGAATTCAAATTAATGCATGTACAATTTAAACTTCAAAAATTTAATTGACATACATTTAGCATGTATTAATGGACTTTTGCGAGAAGCACTGACTTATACAGTCGATGACTTACTTTGACATTTAAACCTGCCTTGTGTACGGATGTACGGAATTGATAATAGACAAGAAAGCCTTAATAGTGGTTATAGGTATGGTGATAGGGGCACTGACATGATTTACCGGTATGCAATCAATGCAAGAGATGATGGGAGGCAGAATTACATGTATAAATTACCTTCGCAGTACAGTTACGGTGCGCAATGGAAATATCGGCAATTTTTGTAATTAAAAATATATTCTTAATCTGCAGGATGGCGATTCTTTTCAGTACTTTATTGATATCCGACAAAGGTAATTATGGTTAATAAATACATATTGAGGACGATAAGATTTTATATTTAGACTTGTCACGTGATGCAGCAGTCACGTAATATAGCACATATACTGGCAATATAGAGGTCACCTATAAATTTCACTAGTGCAAGGGCATAATCAAGTTAATATTCTAAATTTAGAGTATAGATATTTTCAACACGTATTGAAGTTTCTGAAAAGTCCTGCAATCCTCTATAGATTCTGCTATTTCATTGTTAAAATCATATTTATATGACCGCATTCTGTATTTTTTGCTGGTCAACGGCATTAAATATAGATATAATTAATTCATTTTTCAAGATTTCATCAGGATCGCAGCACTTTTCAGATACCTTAATACTGCTAGAGTTTATATGTAAAAGCTTACTGTGATCCGTTGAGTGTATATGCCCTTGCACTAGACTGATTTATTAAGCCCCCTACATTACCCTCCGATGTACTTGCATACGGAATATATATGAATAAAATCATAAAGAAGACATTGCATCCAAGTTAATGGCCTCTTAAATATCTTTAAATGATATTTTATTTATAGAATACATTTTTCGTTGTGAAAATATCTCTTGGCCCGCCTCTCACTGCATAAAACTGCGTCAGGTTTTACAAAATGACGTCACTTCGACAAGTGCATCGCGATCAGTGACTTGTTTATACCTTGCTATGTGGAATTTAACTAAAGACAAAACAGCATGTTATAGTAAGTTTAGATGTAGTTTGATGGTTTCCTATAGTTTAAAATAGCAAATCATTTCATTTTGTAGTATTTTTAAGAATTGTTGGTTTTGTATGATGTCATAGTTAACATTTCCCGTACAAATTAGGCTCCGCCCCCTTTTTGTCTTAACTGTGCTGGATTACTCGTGAGGGGTAGTATCTCTTTTCAATGAAATAAGGAAGAAAAAAAATTTCGGAAGGAAAACTAGACAAGAATTGGTCAATATTGGAAGGGAGGGGGTTGAGGGTAGGGTGGATGCCGTTCTCTTCCTAGACAAGGTAATATGTGCTTTGAAATGGCCCATTATTATCATTTAATTAACTCTTAATTCCGTATATTGCCATAGTGTAAAAGTAAGTTGTCGATTGTAAAAGTCAGCGCTTCTCGCAAAAGTCCAATATTAATAACTTTTCCCCATCAATTACTGTTACTGTGGTTTCATTAATATTCGTGGGCATCAATTTTCGTGGATTTAGTAAAAATCACTATTTCGAGGATACATAAATTCGTGGATAATGATCATACAACAACAAAAAATGTCACTTTTTCTTTTTTGTTTACTCTCCGTATGCTTCAGCGGGAATCCTCACGTCATATACAATGTTAAGAGTTCGTTAATATTTTAAAACAATTACTAACACTTGAAAACTTTTTAATATTCTTTATATTTTGCTCATCTGTATTTTTAATAGTCGGAACCTTCAAGCGTTTACATGGTATAACAATAAAGGGAGAGAAATTCCAAATACCTTCTCCACTGTAAGACTATGATCTCGATTGGACAATTATATCGGATATTGAAACAGATTATTAGAAACAATTAACTAAAATACTATAGACTTTAATTTAATCATCGTTTCGGTTAAATGGTTTTTAAGACAATTTGAATTTCACATTGTATCTTTTAAGCGCACATATATACCGACGATAATTAAGTGTGGCTAAAAAGTAACAAAAATTATTAAGTACTTAAATTTATAAATTTACAAAATAGTTTTAAAGACTTATTTTCACATGCACAGCGTGTTGTTTCTGTACTTGACAGTGATATCAAGACCCCTTTGTGTTTAACAAAAAATTTGTTTCAAAGTCAAATTAGCATTTAATTGTGTTAATAATTTGTATGATTTAATCCAGTTATGAACAGGGAATAATTTATTATTTCTACCGGACTTTTTATTTAACGATAATTTGTGTTTTTATTGTGCAGGTGATAACTGGTGTTGGACCGTTAGATGTTTGAGAATAACGAATTTACAAATTTACACCTGATTTTCTATCATCCTTTGTGCTATACTACTGACTGGGATATGCACCACTTTGACAGTTCTACGTTTTGTTTGATTATTTCCGTACAGAATATTTAAACATATTGACTAAAAATTGCCATATAATTATATAAAAGTATTTCTTCTTTATTAAATATTCTTAAAAATGATAAAATACATTTATAAAGCCAACCTGTTGGGAAAAGGGGGACAGGTATTCGCATATATTAATAGAAGTCGTTATAAGCTTTTTAAAAGTTTATCATAAATCAAAATGGAGGCACCAAACTTCGATGAACATTTGATTTCGTGGATTGACTCAACAACGAAATCCACGGAAATTGGTGTTCCACGAATAATGATGAAACCACAGTATACTTGTTTTACTTTCAGGCTGAGAGGTTACACATGAGTGGTGTTGTGAAGACCTGTGATATGATACGACTTAATGCATCACAGAGAAGTCAGGAGGTACCACATACACTTACTACATGTTCATATTCCATTTTATTGCTTTTTTAGCTCACCTGAGCCAAAGGCTCAAGTGAGCTTTTCTGATCAAAATTTGTCCGTTGTCTGTCGTCGGCGTTGGCGTCGTCGGCGTCGTTGTTGTCGTAAACTTTTTACATTTTCATCTTCTTCTCCAGAACTACTGGGCCAATTTCAATCAAACTTGGCACAAAGTATCCTTGGGTAAAGGGGATTCAAGTTTGTTCAAATGAAGGGCCACTCCCTCCTCAAAGGGGAGATAATTACGAAATAGCAAAAAATTAATGGCATTATTGAAAAATCTTCTTCTCAAGAACCAATGGGCCAGGAAAGATGAAACTCATGAAGAATTATTGTCAGGTAGTGTAGATTCAAGTTTGTTCAAATCATGACCCCCGGGGGTAGGGTGGGGCCACAATGGACGATCAAAGTTTTACATAGGAATATATAGGAAAAATCTTCAAAAATCTTCTTCTCAAGAACAGCAAAGCTATGATTAGTCATATTTATATGAAAGCATCCTCATGTGGTGTAGATTCAAGTTTGTTCAAATCATGACCCCCGGGGGTAGGGTGGGGCCACAATGGACTATCAAAGTTTTACATTGGAATATATAGGAAAAAATCTTCAAAAATCTTCTTCTCAAGAACAGCAAAGCTATGATTTGTCATATTTATTTGGAAGCATCCTGAGGTGGTATTGATTCAAGTTTATTCAAGTCATGACCCCCAGGGGTAGGGTGGGGCCACAATGGACGATCAAAGTTTTACATAGGAATATATAGGAAAAATCTTCTTCTCAAGAACAGCAAAGCAATGATTGGTCATATTTATATTGGAAGCATCCTCAGGTGGTGTAGATTCAAATTTTTTCAAATCATGACCCCCGGGGGTAGGGTGGGGTCTCAATGGACGATCAAAGTTTTACATAGGAATACAGTATATAGGAAAAATCTTCAAAAATCTTCTTCTCAAGAATAGCAAAGCAATGATTGGTAATATTTATTTGGAAGCATCCTCAGGTGGTGTGGATTCAAGTTTGTTCAAATCATGAACATCGGGGAGTAGGTTGGGGCCACAATGGATGACAATTAAAGTTTAACATAGGAGAATATAGGAAAAATCTTCAAAAATCTTCTTCTCAAGAACAGCAAAGCCATGATTGGTCAAATTTATATGGAAGCATCTGCAGGTGGTGTAGATTCAAATTTGTTCCAATTGTGACCCCTGGGGGTAGGGTGGGACCACAATGGACAATCAAAGTTTTCATGGAGTACATAGGAAAAATCTTCAAAAATCTTCTTCTCAAGAACAGCAAAGCTATGATTTGTCATATTTATTTGGAAGCATCCTGAGGTGGTATTGATTCAAGTTTATTCAAGTCATGACCCCCAGGGGTAGGGTGGGGCCACAATGGACGATCAAAGTTTTACATAGGAATATATAGGAAAAATCTTCTTCTCAAGAACAGCAAAGCAATGATTGGTCATATTTATATTGGAAGCATCCTCAGGTGGTGTAGATTCAAGTTTGTTCAAATCATGACCCCCAGGGTAAGGGTGTTGCCACAATGGACGATCAAAGTTTAGCATAGGTGTACATAGGAAAAATCTTCAAAAATCTTCTTCTCAAGAACAGCAAAGCTTTGATTGGATATATTTTTTTGAAAGCATCCTCAGGTAGTGTAGATTCAAGTTTGTTCAAATCATGACCCCTGGCGGTAGGGTGGGGCCACAATGAACGTTCAACGTTTTACATAGGAATATATAAGAAAAACCTTTAAAAATCTCAAGAACAGCAAAGCCACGGTTTGTAATATTTATATGGAAGCATCCTCAGATAGTGAAGATTCAAATTTGTTCAAATCATGACCTCCAGGGGTAGGGTGGGGCCACAATGAAAGTTCAAACTTGTAGAGAAAAAAAGTCACAGTTAGTCAAAAAATTATGTAAGCAGTGTAGATTTAATTTTGGTTGATTTAATTAAGTCATACCCCCCCCCCCCCCTCCCTTTTAGGGGTAGGTTGGGACCATTTATGCATTTAAGCTTTTCAATACTAAACTGATTTTTCCTTTTTTCCTAACCACAGTGCTCAGGTGAGCGATGTGGCCCCTGGGCCTCTTGTTGCTTGTATTCCCAGTGTACAGTAAATCAGAAGAAAATTTGCTAGTTAAAAATATTTTATGAAAATTGTCAAAACTCCCACCTTTATTACAAGAAAGACTTCATTTCAGTCCTATGATTCTCATTTGATCAAACCATTAGCATTGAATGATTTTAATGAAAGATCCAATGTAAGCAATGTCCATGGTTTAGTTAGAAATAAGTACTTTACATTTAATTGAAACTTAAAACCAAAGTCAGTTTACCTATTTTATATGGATAATGAAATATAGTGCAATTTCCAGTTCAAAGGTCTGAAAGAAACACTATTATTTCTTTCAACTCAGCATTCCTACATGTACCAGGCAGACAAAAAATGTATTTTTGACACTTTATATTTTTTGGGGAAGGGTATACCAGCAAGTATTCTGCCCTACTGTACTACAGGAGAGGATCTTGACATGGCGTCCCGGTATCGTATAGTGGTCAGTACCTGTATCACAGCCGGGTCATTGTGTATGTGTGGAATCAAGGCTGGACACTTCACACACGTGTTTGTGGATGAGGTGAGCATTAAAGACCTGTTATGTACAAGTGTAAATAAAGAAAATTTTGTATCTGCGAGAGGGATGTTAATCAGGTACTGAAAGTTCATGTTTATTCCAGGGGTATACTATAAATGTATTATATTTGGTGTGTACAATATTTGGTGGAAATTAATTTTTGAACAGGTTAGCGTAGATTTGATTTAGCGCATTTCTTCATGTTCTTATTGATGAATACATGTATATGTGCAAGACATTTAGCGATGTACTTGAATTAGCGGATGTTTCTTTTCACCAAAGGCGCTAAAAAGAATACAGCCAAATGTAATACGCCCCCTCCACGGTACGGTACGTATCGCGATACTTGTGTCACAATTCAGTTTTTCATAAGGTTAAAGAAAACATGTAATATCAGATTTCAAAAGGCAAGTAAAAGGCGGTGATACAATAAAGAGCACTACTTGTGCTTCTGTAGATTAAAAGAGCACTTTGTTCGTGTCAATACTAGCAGTGGCAGCCTGCTCTGAAACTTTCTCCATTGCAACTTTCTCCCTTGTGTGTGTCAAACTATTAAAATGAGGTCGAACTAGATCTATTTCAAGGAGTAACCAAACACGATTATAAAAAAAAACATAACAAACCAAAAATCGAGATAGTGAATCGAACATTGAACCAAGCAGTAATACTGAACAATATTGATACATGTATTTCAGTGAATCGTTTCAGCCCTAATAGTGATGAGGGTGTTTCTTGTCTGTAGGTTTGTCCATTGAAATGAAATTTAGTGAAACTTTCACAGAATCTTTGTTACATAGTGCCATTGTGACTTCCTTTTTTACCTATTGATTGTTGGTCAGACACATATTTGGAGTTCCTCATAGGAAAACAAGGGACACTGCCATTCTTTCTAGTATAATATTGGGGGAACCTATCTCTTATCCGCAACTCCTCCTATATCACTGAATAAAATTGAATGAGACTTTCCCACAATCTTTATAACATAGTGCCATTATGCAGTTCCTATTTTACATTTTAATCCAAAAGATATTTAAATTAGGGTCTTCCATAGCAAACATTGACTTTGTCGTTAAATGGGAGCAGGGGAAATCAGTTTGGGAGTTCAGCGCTCACAGTACCTTCTAATTTTAAATGACAGTTTGTGAACACTGTAATTAAATTTAGAGAAAAATTTTGAGCTACAAGTAATGGTAGTCTGGTACATGTATCAAACTGCAGATCACTTGTAACTTACATATGTATGTCTTTTTGAGAGAGAGGGCATTAATTCTAAATGTTAAGAGTTTGTTTTCAATCCCTTGTACCTTTACAGTGTACATGTAATTATATCAAACTAAAGATTTATCCCTTTTAATTGAGTTATCCTTTTTATTTGAGTACTGATTTTCTTCAGTCATCTGATGTATATTTGTTAACCTGTTGTTATTAATTTCAGGCAGGCCAGGCTACTGAACCTGAGTGTTTGATTGCTGTCAACTTTGCTGCCGGGGAAAACTGTCAGGTCTGAAGTGCAGTGTTATGGGATTTTATGTACAGTGGCTGCAACGTTATTGTTGATAAGTTACACAAACCATCACGTTACACAAACGATTCCGGACGATTAACGCCTGATTAAACCTGTTACACGAACGATCCTTCACGCACACGATTCTACACGTTACACGATCTTTCACGATTGCTAACACTAACGCACAATTCTTCACTCAAAATAGTTAAAAATATTTAGGAGTGGATATTTTCGAAAAGATATATTAAGACTTAATTAGTATAGTTATTTTTTATTACATTCAAATAATAATTGATGCAATTTATGGACTTTGGAAAACTAAATAAATATTAAGAATGGATATTTTTGAAACTAAATAAGATTTAATCGTTATTTAAAATCACAAGTAATTATTTAATGTAATTCTCCAACTTAGGAAAAGTGATGTTTAAAAAAAAAATCTTTTCAATACGTAAAAATGTAATTTATGATCAATTTCTGCATATTCTATCAAGTGATATAGGTGGGCCGTGAGCATGGTGAGTTTTGATTCTATTTGATATTATGATATGCAGTAAGGGCACTTAAGATTTAAAAAATGGCATAAAATTAATTAAAACTATATCCATCTTTCTATTGGTGATCTCTAAAATCAATAATTATTTTACAATTCATTTATTTGCAGAAATTATAAAACTACACTGTTTAAAGAAACCGCACAAGTCATGTCATGTACATTTGCCAACTTAATATTTATTATTGGGAATTACTTATTATTTTTTCTAAAAAGATATATGTTTTTGATGCATTGATATAAAAATATCTTGACAACATTAGCAGTAATCATAGTTAACATCAGAGAAAAAAATCATTCAATTTATTATTAAAAGTCACGCTAATTTTAAGAGAATACAATATTGTACGACTTACTATATTGCTTACTTACTGGGTACTAGCGATAGTTAGTTCATTCAATATTGTAAACTGTAAACTCCATTTTTTTTTTAATTTTCAATTGAAACAGACAATCAAAATGCTTGTTTAACAAATTACATTCCTATGAAAACTTACAAAATGAAATTTGCACGTTTCTTACCGCACGATCACGCACGTTTTAAACCGCAAACGATTGAGCCTGATACACGCACGATCTCTCACGTTACAAGAACGATCACGCACGTTAGTTGTAGTAATGAGAATTTGAAAACTTTTTTTTGTTATGGAAAGTTGATGTTTCAGTTTGTTAACACAGTATTTCAGCCATATTTGGCATCTCTACCATATATATATTTGTAAAAAATAACAGAAAATTTAATTTGTTCTTAATTTACATAGGTAACATTGGCTGGGGACCCCATGCAGTTAGGACCAGTCATAAGGTCAAAGTTTGCCAAAGGTTATGACCTTGACCTTTCTTTCTTAGAGAGATTAGTGGAAACACCAATCTATGCAAGAGATGAAACCAAGTTTGTTGACCATGGGGCATATGACCCACTTCTAGTATGTTGATATTTCTCCATGTCATAGGGTAATTAATATAATATTGGTAAATGACATTTAAAAAAAAAAAAAAAAAAAAGATAATGCTCTATATTTTAATATGTGATTCTTGGAAGTGACATATTGAAATTATACTATGTCTTGCATATACATTATATTGCAAGAATTTTTTTTTTTTTTTGAAAAGGGGGTGGGGAGGGGGGTGTTATCCCTTTTTCATCCACTATAATTTTTTCCTGATCAAGAGGTCTAATTTAAAATATTAGCCATACTTATTTCCACTGTGTGATCCTATTAGAAAGGTGTATATGAATATTCCCTGGATTTAAATGGCATCATACCATGAGTTCAAAATGTATATATTTTATTGACAAAACATTAATAGGCAAATATCAATATTGTATTTTTAAATTTCTTTGTAGGTGACAAAATTAGTAGATAATTATAGATCTCATGAAGCCATACTGACTTTAACGTCAAAACTGTTTTACTATGATGAGTTGAGGGAGATGGCAGATAGAGAGCTGACACATTTTCTATGTCAATGGACAGCCTTGCCAAGAATGGGTTTCCCTGTCATATTCCATGGAGTCAGGGTAATTAATTCTTGAAATTCAATGAATTGGTGATAGTACAGACTTGTCGAAATCCGTCGGTCCTGTTGGCAAGGCCGGTAAAAATTTGTCTGGACTGATAACTTTTAAGAAAACATCGGTCCAAATGACCGTTTGAAAAAATCGAGCATGACACAAATTTAAAAAAAGGTCGGGATTGGGATGCGCAATTCAAGGTCACAAACTTAGAAAAGATGGCCATGTGCGCGGCGTAGTGACGATGGTTAATTTAAATTGTTACAGGAAAGACAAAAAATATGTTATTTATGTCTCTTATTAAAGACTCTCTATCCTAAGAAAAGAAACTTGTGAGATTGAAGGCTGTTGAAAATATTAAAGGCCATTTTGGTACTGTTATTTATTTTCCTTTCTCAGCATCAAAATAAGGTACATGTATCTGGTCTGACAAAACTTTGTCCAGTCCGACAGAACTTTGACTTTGTCAGACCAAATGTCTGATAGTGATTTCAAAATTTCAACAAGTCTGTAGTACAAGGTATAAAAGACACATTTTTGATCCTTAACCATAATTATATTGATGGAGGAATTTGAAAAAAAGGGTGAATTTGATATCTCAGATGCTGAAGAACTTTGAGATATAGGAGTGTTTGAGATATCCTGATGGAAGTTGAAACACAATCATATTAAAGTTAGGAATGCTGGTAACTCACTTTGGCTATATTCTCTGGTTAGTGGTAATTGGTATGTCAATGTTCAAGACATGGAGACATGGAAGTTTATCAGCTAGCTGGTATTAAAAAAAATATTTTACAATGCTTATGTGATTGCTGCCATGTGTTCACATTGAAATATGCAGTATTTCTTGTTTTAATTATTAAGTCAATTTCATTTATAATATTATAATCAACTAAATGACAGTTGATGGGGAAAGCTGATTTGGAATATTAAGCAATACATGAGTCAATAGAGACATGTCTTTGAATGAAAAAAATTACAAGAAAACTAGAAATTATTTCATTACTATCAATCTTGTGTTATTAAAACTTTTGTATAAAAAGGGCAGATTATAAGCCTTATGATGTTTTACAGGGTGAAGATCTGAGGGAGGGAAACAGCCCCTCCTGGTTTAACCCTGCTGAGGTTGTACAGGTTGTGAGGTACCTCCAGGGGGTACAGCATGAACAGTCCATAGCTTCTGAGGACATAGGTATCATTACACCCTACAGAAAACAGGTACAATATATATAACAAATGTATGTAACTTGTAAGATATGGAAAGAAAGGAAGATTACAGTAATGATTGATCCTGTTTCTTAACTTCAATAAAGTAGAATTTATGATACTACATATAAGGACTCCGCTTTAAGCATGCTACATGTATGCCTGTTTCTTGTTTCACGAAGATAAAATTTGTTACTTATACTTAATATTCTGTTTGTTCACTGTTAGGTAGAGAAAATTCGCCTGTTGATTGACAAGCTGGGAATGGAGAGAGTCAAGGTCGGGTCTGTGGAAGAATTTCAAGGTCAACAAAGAAAGGTCATCATCATATCCACAGTGAGTTCTGTAGAACTATCATTCGATCAGTACAAGTAAAAACAAATCACTGCAACAAAATGAACATTGTAATACTTTTAAGAACAAATATAGATCACCATTATTTTGCAACGCCTTATCTTTGTGAGGTAGTAATTTTGTTTTTTTAAGCGAGACATAATTTTCACAAAAAATTGTTATTGTTCTATATAATCTTAAATAATAGAATTTAACACAAGAATGAGATTTTTGCAAGCAAAAATAAAGTTCTCACGACTAAAAAGTGATTTAAAGTATGTTATTAGACTATGCTTATTTTGACTGAACCATTCATTTCCTTTTAGGTTAGAGCCAATGAGAGAATGATTGGATTCGATAAGAAACACACCCTAGGTTTCCTTAGCAACCCCAAGAGATTTAATGTTGCCATAAGTAGAGCACAGGCTCTCCTGATTATTGTGGGCAACCCCTATGTCTTAGCTCAGGTTTGTGTTTTTGTTTAATTTTTGGAATTTGAGACTTTAGCTTTGAATGTCTGCACAGTGAAAAATGTGTGTACAATGTGTGATGACTTTCCTATTTGAAGATTATATATCCCATGTCAAATTTTGTTGGTACCTTGAGATGCAGTTGAACTTTGGTATCTTGAATATTGATTTCTCAAACACCATGGATAGGTCTAAGTGAGAAGGAAGTACCAACCACTGACCATTTTGAATTCTGAATTATAAGTTTTTTCTTGGCCCCATTGTGTTTTGTTATAATGAGGTTTGATTATACATGTACTTTATACCAGACAGATGGAGTGAGAGTTTCTCCAAAATTGTGCAAATTACATGACCTGTAATGAATTCCATTGTCTCTTTTACCAATTGATCAAATTTAAACCACAAGTACATGTAGATGCCATGTATATGTACAGAGTGTATATGCAGCAGTGTACCAAATAGAAACATTTACATGAATTATGATAATACCTGGAATCCAAAAATATTTCATAATTTACAGGTATATCAGTTTTGATTTTATTCTTCCACAGGACAAATACTGGCAGGTGCTCATCCAATACTGTATTGAGAATGGTGGATATTGTGGGTGTGACATTCCAGAGATCCTCCCACAGGATGTTTCTAGCAATCATATGCAAAATGATAATGAATCTGAGGAGTCAAAAGTTCAAACTTAGCCAATTAGAGTAGAGGAAGGATTTTATCATATACATGTACAATGCAAAGAAATGAAATCTGAAACACAGAAGTTTATTTTATTATACATAGGAAGAATGTAGAGTCAATTAACTGCCAAAAGCACTGTGTGCCATGTTTTTTATTTATTTATATTTAATTTTTGTCTGTTGGTCTGCTTGTTTGTTAATTTTTGTTTGTTTGTTTGTTTGTTTGTTTTTTGAAAGGTAAGTGTATTTACTTAACAGGTATATAAATGTTTTTGAATAATTATATACAGTAAAACATATTTATTATAATTTTCATTAACACAAAGTAAATGTCTGCTTTATGCAAATGTCTATAATTGTGTTCCTAAAAGGTTAGATGTACAAATGTAAATTGCAGATGCAATGAAATAATTTTAATATCCCCAGCAACAATTGCTGCATGTATATCTATGTTATTTTACACTTCAATAGTAATTAAAAAATATGTATAAAATGAATTATTATTAATGTAATGAAGAGTTTGATGATGATAAACCTTTACTGGAGACATTTTTAGCAAGGAGCAAAATGATTTTGCCTTTCCTTATCAGCTAGCTACATGTACATACATGTACATGTAATTATATGTCTGTGTTTTTGGTGTACAGTTTACTTCACACTTCAATGGTATAATTGTCACAACAGTGCATATTTTTTACAACTGTACTAGTAAAATGTTTATACAATGAATTATGAGAGAAATAAACAAGATGTTGATAAACCTTTATTGTAAGGTTTTGTTTCTAATTGATAAATATATGTTCTATGCATGAAACTGAAATAAAATCACTATCTTGTTGGCTTGGTGGCATTGCTTTTCTGTGGATGAACTATAAATGTTTTTGAGAAAATATTCTTTTCTTTTCTTTTTTTCCTTTTTGCATTTAAATATTTTGTTACATTCATTCTGAACAAGGATAAAGCATGCATTTTTTATGTTACATGTACTTTTTTAAAAAATATATATATATAAATAATGAAGAAAGCACCTGTATATGCAAATATCCAATATTGGGCCTACTAAATTTATCACTTAATGCAAGGTCAGGTGTATCTTTATTTTTCTCTAATATTAGAAAATAAATGAATATTTATAAAACATTCCTGTTAGCAGGGAATCTCGTCATTTATTTGTTTAAATTTATAAATGTTCTGAACTGAAATTTGTTTAAATTTATAAATGTTCTGAACTAAAATAAGTACGTTTTCATGGTTTTCGTCACTTTCGCTCAGAACAAGTCCAAACGCGGTTGTCTCTCTTTTGTTGACGGAAGAACCAAGGATCTGCTGTTCTGTTTGCAGGACTCACGCCTTCCGATAATCCGCAATTAAACGGCAGTAGTAAACAATTACTATCGTGATATTGTCCATAACAAAATTTATTAAGAAGAGAAAATATTACTTTGTTGAAAAAAGACATGAAAATGGAGTAAAGGGATTTGTGTGAAAGAAGGCATCGTAAACTGATTTATTTACACGACGGTCAACAGGTGCGCGAATTGTTTATTTACAGTCACGCAACTTCAGAATTTCCTCGGTAAAAGACCTAAAACGATGGCGGAAAACGTGAAAGTAGCGGTTCGAGTGAGGCCTTTCATATCCTTTTTAGCTTTTATTTAGGAACAAAAGGTTCAGATATAATGGTTTAATTTTTATTTGCTGATTTTTAATTGTCTTTTTATGAAAGGTAAAACTATATGATTGAATTTATTAGATTGATGACATTTGTCACCAGATACTCTGTATTTCGAAATTTGCATTTCATTATTTTTGTTTAGAAAATTTTCTGCACTATATGTCTTCCACTTGACATGAAGACATTTTTTAACAATCAGACACGACTAGAATATTTTGTACAGAATCTTTAGGAATTAAAAGCACTGAAACATAAGTGAAAGTAGTGTCCAAAATCCAAATAAATTGAAAGATGATGTAGTGCCAAATATAAGACTTCAACATGCTTGTTAAACACAGAATTGAAAGTTTGCTAAAATAAGAAATGATGTATTTAATTGTTTTATTTGAATTGAATTTATTTTTTCATATATAAATAAAACAATTTCAAAAAAGAATTAAAAATCTACAAGTGTATTGACTAGGAATGAATGTTCCTTAACATATCTTACAATGACCGTGAGAAGCAGAGAAAGGCCAAACTCATCATAGACATGAGGGGTAACAGTACCTATATCAAGAACCCTGAGGACATGGCTGCAGAGGCACGGTCTTTTGCCTTTGATTACTCTTACTGGTCACATGATGAATTCAAGGAAACATCAAATGGGTACTTAGAACCAACAGGAAGCAGATATGCTGATCAGGTAACACATCTCCCCCTCTTCTCTCTTCTTGTCCTTTCCTCTTTTTGCTGGTTGAACTCGGAGAGTTTTAGTAGAGAAGTTTTATTAATTTGTCTGTCCTTTGGCATATTTTTAACTAATACAGATAAACTTTATCAATAAGGGAAAATAAATAAATAAATAAAAGGATATATGTTTTGTGAAATTAGAATTTCTAATCTTTTTTTTTCCCTGACAGAAATCAAAATAAAGTAGCTTCAAATGCAATCAACAAATTCTATTTTGATCTTGAACTTTAAAAATCTAAATAATTCACACAATTTATCAAACAATTAGTAAATACAGTTGAACTTCGGTATCTTGAACACTGATATCTTGAATACCATGGATATGTCAAAGATTTGGAAGTCCCAACCTCTTATTCTTTAAGTATTTTACCCTGGATATCTCGAATCCTTGGATATCTTGAAGTTAATTTTTTTTCTATCTCATCAACGAGGTTTGACTGTAGTAAATTTGGAATTCAGAGTTGTATGTACCTCAATCTTCAAAGTTCTTCAACTTCGTTTTCTTGGATTACATGTAACCCATGGGAATGTATAAAAAGTATGAATGAAAATATAAAATTGACTCAATCAGTTTGATCATCAGATTTTTTTTTGTTTTTTACAAGAGAATTTTTTCTCAAAGTATCTCCACTCCCTATGTGCACCTTTTTCAGAATAAATGTATGAAGCATTGCAATCTTAGATATGTGTATACATGTATATATAGTCATGTTTAATGTCACTCTCATACATTCACCTCTATCTTTGGCTTGCATATATCACAATGATAAGCACGAGAAATAGTTTGTTTTAATTCATTATAATTAAAATGCTTGCACTAATGTTTAATTTGTCATTTAAGGTAGATGTTTACTTCAGTAGATCTAAAACTATTAGATTAATAATTTGAAATAATCCTTGAAATATAACTTTTTTTTACTTTATGTCAAAATTCTTGACGTGAGCCAATTGCAGAGGACCAATGACAACTCTGCACAGGAGATTGCATATTGGTTGAACATGCATTCAAACATTGTATAATATTTATAATGCTAGATATACAAGGAGTTAATGCCAGTATAATCTTCAAACAGAAAAGCCCTGGTTAAAAAGTTAATTTACAGAGAATATGAAGTGTGTGTAGACTGGACTTATTTGTTGACATTAAATTACTTCTGGCGATTTAAAATTTAAAAGTTCTGTTTGTTTACTGGCTTACACCATAATAAATCTTGACGAGGTCCCGCTGTAATATAGTATCGGAAATTTAAAGGATCGTTGCTTTAGTATAGGGTTAAAATTTAAACAAATATATTTCTGAGTTGAATGTGGCCAATTTTTGACAAATAATTGGAAGAGCAAGAGATTTGAATGAATATAAATACATATTTTTTTTTTCAATACACGATTAATATAAAACTTCTGTCAATTTTGAAACATATTTGTATTTTTATTTACTGAAATTAGTTGTATTAAAGTTTGTTTTCCTAAAAAAAGCAAAATTTGTTGACTTAAATTTGCTCGACTTTTCAATAAAAAAAAAATGTGATTTGCATATGATATACACTGTATTATTAGCACATGTACAGGTAAAAAGATTTTAAATTACATTGGACAATAAAAGTATGTGTTACAGTTGTAGATTCATAAAATTAATAAATTGTGTGTACATGCATGATTTCATAATAAGAAAATGCAAAATTTAATTTTAAAAAAAATGTTTTTGTAAGTAAATTATGAGACAATTAAAACAAATAATTTTTTTTAAATATCTTTTTCCCAGAGGATGGTGTTTAATGACCTTGGCCAGGGTGTCCTTGACAATGCTTGGAAGGGCTACAACTGTTCATTGTTTGCGTATGGACAGACAGGAAGTGGTAAATCTTACTCCATGGTGGGGTACGGAAACAACAAGGGGATTGTTCCTATTTTCTGTGAGGAGCTCTTCAAGGGAGTGGAGGGAAAAAAACAGACAGCAGGCGAAAATGAAGAGTACCAGGTCAGTGATAATAATTAATCAGCAGATCGTTTTCTATCTTTAAAGGGGTTTTTTTCAAAACCATAGCCCAGCAACATTTTGTTTGACAAGTTTTGAAAATGTAGCCGCTACATATTGTGAGTACTGTTTTCAAAACTCGTGTAAAAATGAATATTAACAAGACATTCAAGATATTCCAGACCTTTGTTAATTTGAATTTCATGTTATATGTGTTTATAATAATTATAAACCCTTTTTTAACTGAAATTGTAACAAATATGATTATTCTTTATAAATATATATATGTGTATACTTGTTACAAGTATTTCATGAGCTAACATGGAAATCACATGGATTGTGGCAATGATTGCTGCATGATCTGCATGTATATATATAGTAGACACGATTTTCTGTATTTGTATAGTTCATATGTACATTACACAGCCTAATTTGTTAAAATCTTAGGTAACACTGAGTATGTTGGAGATCTACAATGAACAAGTCAGGGATCTTCTGAATCCAAAGTCTATTGCAACAAAGGGAGGATTAAAAGTCAGACAGCACCCCTCTAAAGGATTCTATGGTATGTACCAGACAATCAGTTAAGTCGGACAGCACCCCTCTAAAGGATTCTATGGTATGTACCAGATAATCAGTAAAAATACAGCACCCCTCTAAAAGATTCTATGGTAGGTACCAGACAATAAAATTCAGACAGCACCCCTCTAAAAGATTCTATGATAGGTAGTACCAGGTAATAAAAATCAGACAACACCCCTCTAAAAGATTCTTTGATATGTACTAGACAATCGATAAAAATCAGACAGCACCCCTCCAAAGAATTCTATGGTATTATTTCTTATAGTGCAGTTAATATGAAAACATTAATTAGTGCACCTTTGCTGTTTTCATCACACAGTCATTCTCCTTAATAATATTACAAGAAAGTAAAACAGTGAAGCATGCTTATAATGAAGTTCCAGGGATGAACAATTTTGGTTCGTTATAAGCATATTTCTTTCTTTAAGTCCGTTTAGTTTATAATATATTTTAAGGCCAGGGGGAATGAAAATAACTTCACTGTAAGCATCAATTCATTATAAGCATGTTCACAATAAGCATGTTTTTTTGTAGTCCTAGGATTTATAGGAAATGCTTCACATTATCTTATTTTGTCAATTTTCCAGTGGAATCTCTGATATCTTGCCCTGTCAGCAGCTACACAGACATCGAGAACAAAATCAGCGAAGGAACCAGAAACAGGACCGTGGCGGCCACCAACATGAATGCTACCAGCAGGTATATACAAGGCTTTAATAATATTCCAGTAAAATTTTGGTATATATAGTCTGCATATTTTTCTACTTTTCATGTACATGCAGTAGTGAGAGGATGGTTAAATGTGTACAATTCAGAAAAATGAATAATTTTTTTAATGTAATGTTAGTTGTTTACAAGTTTTCTTTTGAACCAATAGCTTTATTGATAAGTAGAAATCTTTTGAATTCCAAAATAAGAGTATATGAATACCTCCTCCATGTATTTTTATTAAGATTTTGATTTTCTAATTTGGAACAGTCGAGCTCACACCATAGTGGCCATCACATTTGTCCAGAAGACCCCCAATGAAACGGGTCAGAGCATGACGAGGTCATCAAGTGTGAACTTGGTGGATTTGGCAGGAAGGTAGGTCAGAGGTCATCAAAAAAAAAGGAAAAAAAAAAGGCTGAACAACAATTATTTGGCAATTATGATGAGAATCATGTTTGATACAGTTACTGTAATCACATTAATTGATTTCTAAAATTACTAATATATATATATATATACCAGGTATATATATGTACTTCTTAATACAGTGTATTTTATTGAAATAAAAAAAATACATTATAATTGTTTTTATATTAATATTACATGTATTAATTAGTGTATTTATCATGCTAACTTATTTCACATTAGTGAGCGTGCAGAATCAACAGGAGCTACAGGGGACCGTCTCAAAGAGGGATCAGCCATCAACCAATCACTGAGTACCCTGGGAAATGTGATTAGTGCTCTTGCTGACCAATCACAGGGCAAAAAGAAAGTTGTGGGTGGGTATATCAATCCACTATGACATAAGATGTCAAAATTGCTGGGGGGGGGGGGGGTTCAATCCCCATCCCCCAACTTTATCAATTTTCATGCATGTAAGAGAGAGGTGGGTTTGAGATTCAGCCTAAAATTGAACTCTGAACTCTAAGTAGTATAGTCTTAAAACAGTTAACACTGTCAGTGATACCTTATGCCACTAGCATCACTATACTGTTAGGTTAAAAATCACCAGCATCAGTAAAATCACTTAATGTTACACTTATTCAATTTTGAATGACATGCTTGTTTGAGAAAAAGTATATTATTTCAATCTGTAATAAATATTGAGATTTTATAACCAAGTTGTACAGCAGTAACAATGATACTCATATGTTTGAATTTTTTTTTTATAAATTTCAGTACCATATCGAGACTCTGTTCTGACCAAACTTCTACAGAATGCTCTCGGTGGCAACAGTAAGACTATCATGGTAAGGTTTACATCAAGACTATTGTGGTTATTTAACCAAATTATTTTACATCCATTGAAAATGTATTTCATCTCCATGATAAATAGAAACACAGAATTGATTGGTCCAGAAGCATTTTCTAATTTCCATCTGACAAAAAAAAAAACGAAGAAATACTGACTAATTTATGCATCTACATGTACTTGTAAGTCTAGCCATTTTAAATTGAATTTCATTTTTTCTATATTGTAGATTGCTGCACTTAGTCCAGCAGATATTAATTATGATGAAACTCTGTCTACATTGAGATTTGGTAAGTATAATCCTTATGATACGTGAGTAAGTTACTTAAAGTTTTAAGAATTGATGCAAAATCGGAGAGGAAGAGTCAAAAGATGATATTGGATTAAAAAAGATTGGGAATATTTTTTTAAAAAAGTCAATTTGTAAACAATATTTCAATAGCTGACAGAGCCAAGGCCATTAAGACAACTGCAACAGTGAATGAGAGTCCCACAGATAAACTTATCCGTGAGCTTCGTGAGGAGAATGCCAAGCTTATGGAGATGTTGAAATCAGGTGGTATCTCTCTGGATCAGCTGGGAGGAGGTGGTGGTGGTTCCAATGCTAATCAAGGTAAGGGTCAAATATGTGGTGCTGTGGGGTACCACTTGTTTGAAAGAATTTTTGATTCATAGTTCATTGGAAGCTTCAACTACTATGCAAATGCTCACTAATGTTGCTTCATTAAAGTACCATTGTGTTACATGTTTATTTTGACAAAGATTTTGCTTAAGCTAAACTTGATAAGCAAAATTGTCAGTGTTAAACATTAATCTTATATGCAAATTTAGTAACCTGGTACATGCTTTATAGCATCTTAAATTGGACTTACATGTAACTAATGATAAGTCAAGATAGATAATTATTAAAGGAATTAGACAGTTTACAAAGTTTTGTTTTATTAAATTAATAATTCTTTAATGTCTAACCCAGAAAACTACAAAAAGTATCTGTTACGCAGTTTGTCTCGTAAAAAAGGTCAGTTAGTACAGGGATAATGGATGTCGTAATAGAGGCTTGAAACACAACAACTTGATTTTATTTTATTGTCATTTTTTAAGACAATGAAAAAAAAAATAGTTCTATTCCTTTTAAGATAAAGTTGATCGTATAATTTTCAACATAGAGCCTTTTTGGACTTCATTTCATACAAAAAATATTTTAAGTTACTAGTGTTTCAAGCTTCGAAAACAAATTTTAAGTTGAATTTCAGGGTGCAGGGAATTTAATTGGTTGATTTCAATGTTACACAGTTACAGATTTTAATTCCTGGACCAGGGGATTGATTAAGAAAATTATTTTTAGCAAAAGAGATTGATTGGATAATGTCATAGTTCATTGCCATTTTCTATAATTGTATTCACCGATCAAGATGAATATACAGTAATTCATGGATATACTGAATGGATAAGGGTCACCAAAACCACTTTGTAGTACGCTTAACCTGTTTTTTATCAGCTTGAACTTTTAGGAGGCAAAATATGACTGTTATAAACAAGTATCTGCATTAAGCAAGTTCACTATAAGCAAGTTTTACTGTATCTCCATATTGTATTATTTCCTTGCAACATAGTCTGAGGGGATGTGAGTGGTTGAGTAGGTTAGTGAGTTCAAGCATAAGAGAAGTAATTTATATCAGCATCTTTGTGATTTTCTGGCTTGAACTTAATTAAAAAGAATGTGCTGTCTTCCAAGGGAATGCTCCACTTTGCAGTGCCCTTGTTACCCTTAAGACTGTGTCAATCAAATTACCAGCCATGAACAGAGTTGTTGTGAAATACTTTCAGAAATCATGTTATTATGTTGATTTTATGGCACAATCATATACTTTGGCCATGTTTGGCTCACCACAACATGCTTTTTTTTGATGAGCACATCTTTTGTTATATTTTAGAGTCATCTGAAGGTAATATTAATTTTAGCCAGTTTCACTAGAGGTTTACCCCAGTTAGATATCTCAATTCTGCCTTTCACTTTGCTTCTTCTGATATTTAGTATTTATAATAATTGCAGCTCACGGTAAAAAAAAAACTTGTGGGAATGGTTTCACAACTAGGATAGATAAAAAACATGAAATTGTGATGAAAGAAATATATTATATCTATCTTACAGGACTATTAAGGTTAGGGTATGTGTTTTTAAAATGCTTGATTGTAAACACAGCTTTTTAGTAGATATATATTATTATACATACTGACTGGATGTGTGTGTTATTATTATAGGAGGACTATGAATCCCTGATTGCTGCATTTCTACATGTATTGTAGTTAGCACTGCTGACTTGTAGTTTGAGGAATGTTAAAAATTGATGTTAGATTTTTTTTTATATTTAAAATATGAATGCATTATGACAACAATTTAATTATCAAATAGAAATACATTATTTTGTTAAGTATATGAATGTTAAATTTATGTATTTAGCTGTTGTTTGTATATTAAATGTTTCCGTAGAAAAGGAAGAGCATATGATCTTTCTGGCATTTGATACATGTGTTACTTTTGGACTGATTTTCTTTTTTTTCTCTTTCTTTCAAGACCATAATCAAGACAAAGGATAAAATCCTTGTATTAATTTTTCCAACTAATCATTTTCTCTTGTTAGGAATTCCTCCTGGAAATTTTAAATGTCTGTGTTGACAGTTATTTACAGCATCAGCGCTCAATTTCCTAAGGCCAATAATTCTCACTGTGAATTAATTATTGCATTTGACATTTTGCCACCAGTAAAAATCCGTTTAGATATAACTCTTCCCTTTAGCTACAGTTCCTATTTTGAATTTCTAAAGGACTTATCAAGTAATTGCAATAATTGCCTTGTCTTTGTTAATTGCATTTCAAAATATATATAATCATTGCTGTATTTTTAAAAATCATTTTAAAATAATGTAGGTTAGAGCCCATGTATATTTTTAAACTTTGGTTTGATCCTAGTAGTAAAATATTGATGTATTCTTTTAATTCTCTGTGCCTTTTAACATCTTATTTGCAGATGTATGTTATTATAGACTTATTAACAATTTTACTCTATCGACTTTATTTCCATTACTTTCATGTATTACACATGTTTACTTAATATTCAAATCAATATACTTTGTATCATAACATTTAAAATATAACAGTGCATTTAAGGCAGTGCATTTTGTTAATTATTAAGTGTTAATTATCAGAAATTGAGGAGATGAAAAAAGCAATGGAAGAGGAACTCCGAAAAAATCAGGAGGAGATTGAGAACATGAAGAAGACGTGGCAGGAACGATTGGCGGAACAGGAGTCCGCAAATAAGGTGAGTTGTTGTCCTGGCAGGAACGATTGGCCAAACAGGAGTCCGCAAATAGGGTGAGTTGTTGTCCTTGCATGAACGATTGGCCAAACAGGAGTCTGCAAATAATGTGAGTTGTTGTCCTGGCAGGAATGATTGGCCGAACAGGAGTCCGCAAATAAGGTGAGGTTGTCCTGGCAGGAACGTTCCGATTGGCCAAACAGGAGTCCGCAAATAAGGTGAGTTGTTGTCCTGGCAGGAACATTCCAATTGGCCAAACAGGAGTCCGCAAATAATAGTGAGTTGTTGTCATATCAAAATGTAGCTTGAACTCCTTATACCCTGTTCAAAGAGATTTGCTCAACTGGTTAGTGGTGACTGCTAGTATAGTAGAGCCGTAAACTTTGTCCTTGACTTGCAGAGGAATCAGGGGTGATGTGGAGGTTATAAGGTCAATTCTTGTCATGATAGCCTAAAACTTTAAAATTACATGATTTACGTGTAGCTGCATGGATTGAAGGGGAGATAGATATTATGTATTAAGTCTCTCTTTTGTCTTAGCTGATGGGATTACATCCTTGAAAGACAAGGTTGGTCTTTGACCAAGCAAGAAAAACTTATTTAACAGGAATCTATGAATGTAACCACTGACTTACCTAAACCTTAACATTTTTTCTTGATAAATATTGGAATATAGAATGATCTTGTTTGAGGATATGTCTTACTGCTATTAAATGCTTTTCTTCCTTCTTCACACATAGTTAAATCAAGATGTAATATTTTGAATATCAGATTTACAGTTTGTTCACTTAGACCTTTCCCATCATTTAAGATGTACCAGTACATGTATTTGGAATGCCAAATTCTTATTTATTAGTAACATGAATTAGAAATTGATCAGACAATGATTATTTCTTTCATAAAATTTCAACAAGATTGAACTGTCTTCAGTGGTTTCTTGTTAATTAATACACTGCCTTATTTAGCAAAATCAGATCTAGCTAATTAAATTTTTTTGGCAGGGTAACATGGATGCAGAGAGGAAGAAGGAGGAGGATAAAAAGGTGATTCCCCACTTTTGGAATTTACATGAAGATCCAGCCCTGACAGCCATGATAGTTCATTTTGCTAAAGAAGGTTTGTATTCTATGAGCTTTATGAAATAAGGTTCAAAGAAAGATCAATTGTTTTCAAGGGGAGAATAAATACTGTATACAGGGAAAATTTCACCCACATTTTATTTTCACCCCTTTTGGCCTACTCACAGGTGAATTTAAAACAGGGCATATTCAAAGAACATAGTTTAAATTCTTAAACAAAACTGTGACTGGGCAAATTTAAAATGGGACAAAATTGTTTGCAAGTGTGAAAGGGTGAAAATAACATGGGGCAAAAGTAACCCTGTACACAGTATACATCGATCATTGCATATTTCTTTCTATTTTTAGCAATTATTAAGCAAATGATACATATAAGCATATAGAGTTTTATAAAAATTGAAATGGAAATTAATAAAATGTTGAAATATATTTGAAGGGTCATCTAAGGTTGGAAACAAGAATGCTAGCCCTCCTGCTGAGATCACCATTAGTGGACTCAGGTTTGTCTTTATTGGATTTTCATTTACTTAGGACAACATAAATATACATTCTTTTATCAGGGCATAAAATATATTACAAGATTATGGCATCCTTATCGCATAATATTTACTGATAAGGTTAATTGTCATTTGTTAAGTATTATAACAGAGTAATTGTTATGCACCTTAGAGCATTGAATGTATGAAGTGTACTTACTTCAGAAGGGTTAATAAAAACTGTCTGTGGGACAGAAGGTGTCGTAAAATTAGAAATTAACATTTTATGACAGTTATAATTGGGATGACCTTTAAATTTTCAGCATTCAGAAGCAGCATGGTGTGGTGACAAATAAAGGGGGAGTAGTGAAGATCAAACCTGTGGATGGAAAAATTCTGGTTAATGGAGCAAAAGTCACCAAGGAAACTGAGTTACATCACAATGACAGGTACAGTTTTCATACATTCCCCAACAATTATGATACCTATTGAAATAAATTAATATGGTATTTTTTTTTCCTTTGTAGGTCAAAATTCAAACATTCTGTGAATAAATGTGTAAACAGACTAAATATACTGGAAAATCAATTATTTTTTCATGGGATCAAATTTTCATGGTTTGAGAAAAAATATTGATTTGTGGGGATTTGATTTTGTGGATGAAGAAATGTTTTGTTTTTTACGTTTGAAATTTTACATTTGAATTCATGGAAGACATGAATTTGAAGTAGCCTTCATACCATGAAAACAACGAAAGTTAAACCCCCATGAAAATTAATGATTTCCTAGTACAATTAAATGTAGCACCATTGTTATGTATTGATTTCTGTTTTTTTTTTTCCGCAAAAAACCTCATTCTCATTCCCCCAATTGAATTTTTACTTTAAAGTTTGCATAACAATTGCAATTTTCTGTAGAGTGCTGTTTGGTCCAAATCACCTGTACGTTTTCCACCACCCACAAGACTTGGCTAAGAATGTAAAAGAGGGAAAAACTGTAGAGACTCCTACTTATGACACAGCACAGGAAGAGATTGCCAAGAAGGCAGGGTTCATGGACAAAGCTGGCAAATCAGAGGGTTGGTTTAGTTTCTTATTTATTTAGGTTTACATACATCAGAATTGTTAGATTAACATAAAGTGGCTAGAGAACATGCAGAATGTAGTGAAAAATACGTAAAATCATATAATTTATTAACGAGAATTATGTGCATCTATTCTCAGAATTTTAGTGTATAATGTATACGGTGCACTATTAAGTTAAAAGTTAACAATTAAGTTAAAAAAGTTAAATTTTTGGTCCACCTGTGTATCTGTGTATCTGTCTGTTAGCTTTTTTGTGTCTGGATCATAAAATACTTAGACAAGGCTTAGAATCCTCAAACTTTGTCAGCTGATGCATCTTGGGTTTAAAACTCATTTTGAATCTTTCAGAGGACCTCATTCTACAGGAAGATGTCATTCAGATGTTACCCATGGTGAATGAAGCAGACGCTATGTCAGCAGAGCTGGACAAAAAGGTCAAGTTTGAACTGGCCCTAGTGTCCCCTCAAGCCAGGGGCCTCAAGGAGGGGAAAACTGAGGTATGTTTATGAGTAACTGAAATCTGTACTGACCTGAGACCGAACTGACCTAAAAGTTATTCAAAGACTGGGGGCTAGCTTGGGCTATAACAGTGATTTTTCTACACCCAATTTAGGTCCGAATATCGGCCCTTTCCCCTATCAAATATTACCAATTTTTCTCAATTTCAGTTGCTTTTTCCCCAAAATAAAACCATTTTTGTTTTTGTTATATTGAATTTTTTTATGTACGACTTATCTAAAATGGATTGCTTTTTTTCTTGGTCATTCAGACTCTTAAAATAATAGTGAGGAAGAGCAGATTGTTTTGTGCGTTTACAAGACATAGAAAAACACATGGATCATGTCAAACTTGTGTGTAAATACGTTGTAAGAAAGTGTAAGATGCATGTGAACCGGCGAAACATAGCTTTATTTGTAAAGAACTAGTAATTCTACAACAAGCATCCCTTAAATTATTCCACTAAAATCAAATTTTCGACTCTCGGTAGATGCAACTAATATTGCAGGGTTATTGCAGCAATATGATTAAGGTAATTTAGAAAGCTTTAATAATGAGTTAGAAAAAATGATTTGTTATAAATCATCTCAGATTATTCCATCTTCAATGGCTATTATGAGTAGGATTTTCTTTTATGTCTACCATTATGGCCCAAAAAAAAAAAAATATGGAAATATAGGACGATCATAATAACAACTTTGAAAGATTAAAAAAAAGTTTAAAATGTAGAATTGTGTCTAATTTGTTATTTTGTAGTAAATATTTTGAATAAATAATCTTACATTTACTCATATATTTATTTTACCTGTCAATTAAGGTTAATTTCAATCTTATTGATTTTTCCCAATTTGACACAAATGTCGATGATTTTTCCCAATTGTAAAGGCCCAGGCCCCGTTTAAAAAATGTAGAAAAATCACTGTATAATGCAGGAATGCATTCTAGTGGCTTGGAGTTTGGCAATGTCTACTATCATTTGTATCATTGGTCATTAAATGCAAAGAAATTTGACAATTTTTTCTGGGTATAAGGTGGATGATTTTCTGACAGAAATTTAGAAGATGGAAAAAAATTGTGAAATTGTGAAAAGATGTGAAAAAATTGTCTAAGGGTTTAATGTTATACATGTATATTCAATTGCCATATTTTACAGTGTTTTGGAAAATTAAAGCAATGAATACATTCTCAGCTAAATAGAATAGTACATCATTTATATTCAGGTGATGGTTAAAATGAGGAACTTGGAGAATGGAAACGAGTGGTTGTGGGATCGTAACAAATTCATCAACAGGAAGTTCCTGATGCAGGAAATGTACCAGAACTATGTGGAGGGGGCAGACGACTGGGATGTTCCCAAGGTAACCACTCAATGAATATTTAACATGAAGAAATGAGTGTGATAAACCTTGCTTTTGGCCTGTAAATTTGTTGATATTTGTTCATGTTTAGTCATATAATGTGAAAAAATTCATAAGCAGTTTTATAGGTGCTAAATCAATCATGTCCTGTAAGAATGTCCGTCATCACAGTTTTCCAAGATTTGGAAAAATTCATGTAAAGTGAACCAATTACATCCTCATCAACGAGAAAAAAATTCTTTATGAATATTTAAAGAATCTCAATATCGGAAACAAAGATTTCCAAAAAAAAAAATGGAAAACTGATAGGTATCTCAATCTGCTTAACATTCAATACCAAGTACACATCTTTGCAAAAACATTTGACCTAAACCTTTTCAGGAGAAGGATCCGTTCTGGGAGGATGCTGATGTGGAGGTGTTGATCGGGACTGTACATGTCCATCTGATGTCACTGAGTCACAAACTGGACATCGAAGAGACACTAACAGTCACTAACTACCAGGGAAAAGAAAATGGTAGGCACTCAAATAATGTTTGTCAAAAGTAACAAGAGTTTAGGCTCACACTTGTAAGAAGTAATGTAAAATTTTGTCTGTTCTTTAAGTTAGACATGCAGATAAAGGGTTTCAATTTTTAAATAGGTCACATTGAGATCGAGGCCATTCCTTGCACAGCTAAAGGAGCCCAAATAGGGGAGGATGACTTTTTGGATGATCCCAAAGAATTGGTAATTACTCGGTGTTAATTATTTAATACTTACTTGTACAAACTTTAATCATCAGTTGCTGTAAATACATGACTTGAAATATGTATAAAATTGCCTTGTATTTACATGTACATGTATGTTCAAAATGTTTGAGTTAATTGAAAATATATTAGCTATTTTTGTTATAATCATTTCTTAATGCATTGATGATGATGTGCACATGCAAAGAGGACATTTAATTACTACAGCTTTCTTTGGTTTTCCTGCAGATTGGGAAGGAGTTAAATTTCAAATTTCAAATCAATTTTGGCCGAGGCCTTCCAGCCAACATTAGACAGGTCAGTTGAATTTTTTGTTCTGAACACTAAGATCATTCTTCATTCTTTAGAATGATGTGTGCAGTTTAGACATATTTCATGAATAGGTTTAATAAGTCTAGAAATTAAAATTCTGTCTCATTTGGGTAGATTATTTGAATCTTAACTGATACCTATATTAACTATTTTATTTTTTTTTTTCATTGTAGAGCTGCTGTAAGTTCAAGTTCTACCTGGACAACCAGTACACCTCAACAGCCTATGTAGATGGAATGAATCCTGAGTACAAGTTTGAAAAACTCTTCAAGTTCCCTAAGTGTACATCTGAGGTAAGCAAAGTACTAAAGTGTACCCCTGAGATTATTGTACTGATAATGGCTCAGAGGTGCTATAGTTTACTGATAGTAAAACATTGTCTGAGAAAGGTATTCTGATTGTTAAAAATATATAATGATTTCTTGGAGATACTGCCTCATTAAATTGAGTTCATATGTCCTAACCTTGTCATACATGTTTACTGGAAAAACTATATCTGCACCAATAATCTTATTTCCTCAGTTTGTGGACTACTTGATTGACTCTGTGGCAGTGATAGAAGTGTGGGGCAAACAGAAGGGAGCAGGGATGAAGAGTGGGGGCAACCTAGGAGTGGCTACCAAAGACCTGATGGCAAGAGAGAAATCCAACTTGGTATGTGATATTAAGCTAGTGCATGGAGATGAAGAATTATTTAAATGTGAATGTTCTGGATTAAATGCAAGTTGTAATGTTTTCAGTGATCTTTTAATTAGTATTGTGTATCTACATGTAGCTACACACTGAATGACAGCATGTTAATTTCAGTTTTAACTTTGGAATGATAATGCCTCTCTTTTGTAGTGCATGTTTTTACTTTTCAGCTAAAATGTCTTGATGTTGCTGCATGACTTTGTTTTTCTAATGTTACTCAGTTGATAGGCTGTATGCATAGTACATGTACAATCACATATAATAATCACAGAAAAAAAGGAATTGAAATTATTTTTTTGTGAAGATTTTATCAAACTATAAGGGGTAACAAGAAGTACTCAATGAACATCAATTAACTGTAGAAAATATTGAAAATGTATTTGTTTGAATTCTTAAACTGACTTGTGGTGAGACAAAGGGGAAGTATATCATTTTTGAAAAGACAGTTTGATGTGATTTTCAGCTCACCTGAGCTTTTATGATCACATTTTGACTGGCATCTATCCTAAAGTAGTGTAGTTTCAAGTTTGTTCAAATCATGACCCAGAAGTGTAGGGGTCAGGTGCCATAATGTTCTGAAGAACAGCATGACCAAGGTAATTCAGGCAAGCATTGTTGCCCAATGGGTCTTGTTTTCTTTTGTCATTTCATTTCAGGTTCGATATTAAGATTATTGATTTGCAGTACCTGTTTGGCTCTTATTTTCAGTTTGGTTTAAGTACTTATGAGGAGGAACAGTCCAAATTAAAGAAAAGAGTAATGTCTCATTTAGATCTTCTGTCCTCTTTTAAAAAATTATCTTTCCCCTGAATTATTTATCTTTTTTTTTTTATATAGATTTCCAGTGTACACGTTATTCTCTGCTTGTAGTGGCACTAGTAAAACAATATTGTTATAAAAATCACATTAATAAGAAATAAGAATATAAGAAAATAGAAATAAGAAAAGAAGATTTATTGAGATTCCTCTCTATATTTTGTATTTCATTAGACTGTAATTCTTTTTCTATTAATATATGCCTCTCATCCTGTGTCTGTAGCATTTCCTAGATGAAATGTTTATTTGTTGCTATCTCCAAAGATTTCAACATAATAATAATCGTAGAACATACTCAGAAATATGCACACAATCCTTCAATCCTTTTTAGCCACTGGTCGTTAGTTGAAAATATTTTTCATATTTATATATAATTATTAATTCAACTCTGTACTGTGTCTGCCTCTAAAAATAAAACATAACTGATCTTAAAATTAATATTTCCGAGTACTGACATCTCTGAATATGTTTACTTGGCCATTACAATTTATGCTATTTTATTACAGTTACTCCATTAAATACCTAACATTATTATTTCCATATGTATTGCATGCTCATGTATTTAGTGTATATGTTAATGACTTACTTATACAATAGCATTATCATTATATGTAGATTTCAAGCATATTGTTATAGAAACTGTATAGATATCAAACAAATATCATCAATGCTGTAAATGAATTATATTTAGTGTTTTACAATGTTTGCCGGAAATTTTTCAACTTGATTTAGCCCATTTCTGAATGTCTATATTAAATAATATATATGTATATAAGACATTTAGTGATGTACTTGATTTTGCGGATGCTGTTTTTCACCACTGATGCTAAGTACAATACACAGCCAAATGTAATACATTTACAGTACTTGTACATGTATATGATATTTTCAAGCTGAACATGATTTGTAAAAGGAAGTGATTTTTCCTTGTCCACTATTTCTCTTCGTTCACTTCTATTTCTTGACCCCCTATATAAGCCTCTGACTTCTTCATGGTTCAGAGTATTTCGTTGTACAGATCTCACCTGGGAGGACATACGTCTTACATTGCCTTTGCTACTTGGTTGCAATAAAATAATTAAATGTACTATGCAACTAAACTACATCAGGCCAAAAAGTAACATCAATAATTGCAAACAAATGCATTACAAACAAACACAAATGCATGTAAAACGGTGAAATAAAACATTAACTATAAAACAACATATGAAATACTACACACTGGCCATGAGTTCCAGGAGTGCAATCAGGTGTAACAAATGGGAAGGGTATACATACCCTAGTGCTGATATCAGAGATGAGAAAACTAATATAGAATATAACTAATTAAGAGTCATGTTCAGCTTTAACTTAGCAGTTTTAACTTTAAAGAAGATTTAAGTACAATCAAATGCATTTAAATAAAAAATCCTGTATTAATGAAATAGTAAATGTTTAAAATGTTCACACAAGATTTTTTTTTCCTGGTATTTATTGCCCTTCTAAAAATTAAAAAAAGACCCAACACACTTTTTGCCCTTTTTAAATTCATGAATCCCTTTTATAAATATTCTATGGTCATATGTAGGATGAAAACAAGCCAGCACCAGTGAAGAAGAAGAATGACACCTCTGCCAAGGCCACAGACAATGGGGTGGTGATTCCAGTCCCTCCCCCACCGGCAGATAAAAAACAGAACGACCAACAAATAAATGCCTATAAGAAACAGGCAGATGACGCGGACAAGCGCGCCAAGGCTGCAGAACAGAGAGCCACCAGCTCGGAGAACATGGTGGTGAGTATTTATCTGAGATACTTGACTGGTCACAAATGTCTGCTTCTAAGGTAGAAGGTTTGGGGGTTGTACTGTATTTGATGTACATATAGATTATGTTATTTACAAGAAATTTACTTAATATGTATGCTTAATTTTGCATCTTTGCCGCAAGTACAGAATTAAGTTATCCGTTATAACTGGAGGCATTATTAGGATCTTGTAACTGATTAATTGTAACAAGTAATGCACAAAAATTATGTTACACCTATAAGATGCAAATTTGTGACATTTAATAAGTTATGCAAAATTAACATAAATGATTTAAGTATGTACAGTATACAGTAATACGTACATTCTGCTAAACTATAATGTTAACTTTCTCTCATTGTTGGACTAAAATAATATAAAATTTCTCAAGATTATAGAGTACAATATTGCAACATACATGTACAGAAGTTGTACATTGTATACTTTAAGATAATCTATTCAATTGTTCGTTTTACAGTCCAATGTCAGAAATCATCTAAATCAGATGAAGAGAGCTGGGAATAGCACAGTTTCTGTAAGTGTTTGTTTGTTGTTGTTTTTTATTTTTTGATTGTTTTTTTTTAACAAAGAAAAAAGTTTTTGAATACTACATACTTAAAGAGATAAATTTCAATCTTTTCAATTGACTTTATTATAAAGCCTAAAAAAAGAAGAAAGAAAATAAATATTAATTAGATGATGTAGACATTTGAATTTTTTTTATAAGGAAAAAATGTAGATGCATTAATTGTTAAGCAATACATTTTTCACTGAGAATATAATTATATGCTTTATTCATAATTTTTTACACTTTCTTTTTTGACACAGATTGCTGAGCTTGAGTCATTGCTGGCAGGAGGTAACTCGAGTTCAGCCCGACAAGAACAAATGGGGGACAATGCATCAAAGGCTTGTTCAATACAGTAAAATAAAACATTTAACTGTATACCTCAGAAACCTATAACTTTACTTTCAAAATCTCAGTTTTTGAGGAATCACCAAATTAGAATACAAGAATTTCTCAGTACATCATAATCAGCAAAATCAAAATGGACATCTTTGCAATAAGTTTTACATAAATCTTACTTGTAAGCCATGGCGAAGAGGATGTGTTTAGTTCTCTCTATATCAAAGATCTGATCTGTTTACTGTCTTCGTTGTTCTGAGATTTCTATTTTTACCTACATTTTTCTTCTTATCAAAATATGTTTAAGTCAAATTGTCTTCTATTTCTAATTCTTGCCTTGTGATTGTAAAGATTGTATAGTACATGTATATTTGTGTATTGGTCATTATTGTAATATGTATATATATATATGCACAAAGGTTGTTAATTAGTGATTTGATTAATTAATTTAGGGAACTATACTTTGGTATTGATAATGATTGATCATGCTCTACCATGATTTTTTATATAATTATGGTAATACACATTAATGACATTAAATTATGAGTCTATTTTTCTTTTTTTGAAACATGAAATTGAATAGCTACATATGTAGACTGTAGTGTCTTCATGGTACTGTACATGTTAAGAATGCAAGTAAATGATTACAGAAGAACTTAATGGACTATAATATGAATCAGGGTTTTTCAGCTTTTGTACATCCATGTAACTTTGTTGTGGTGTTTACAGTATATGACATGTTGTAGTGTTTAGTATATAACGTCTATATGTAGAAGTATCAGGCAACGTACTGTAAACCAACTTTTATTTGCTTACAAGAAACATCTGCAAGTTTCAGGACCTTCTTTTACTTGCGAATATTTCTTGCCACAAACCATTTCCTTATTAATTTTGTATTTATGTAGAATGTTTCCTCCATTGCAAAAATTTATAGTTATGGATGGATAATTTTAAACTGACGAATTGCATATAAAAGTTGATTTATAGTATTAACAACAAAATGTAGAAATATATATTTATTTAGAGACTTGTTTGTTATATCATTACTATGTTTTTGGTGGAAAATGAAACTTTGTCTTATAAACGACATGCAAGTGATAATTTATATAAGTTTATTTTTATAGATCGAAGCATCTCTACAAAGAATTCTTTGATATCCGTCCACAGAAAATGTTAGGAATTTTCAAAAAAATAAATGACATTTTATTTAAAGATAGTAATTTTATTTGATTTTTTATTCTTATAACAAGAATTTCTTTGTGCAATACAAATCTGGTCTTTTATCATTTATGTAATTATATATTTTTCTTTATTACTTTTGTAATTTAAATAATTCATTTTTATTTTTAATATCTATGATATTATTTTTTTTAATCAAACACATTACAACCACCCAATAATGATTATCAAGAATTTCAGATTATAAATTAATGGGTATGGTTAATCATACAAGAATTTGTATTGAAAGTCAAGCTTACTAGAAAGGCCTCAAAAATTGTTCTAGAAATATTTTGTCCTTATAGTAAACTATTTTTGGTGTCTGGTGATGTCATATTTTAGATATAATAGGTACTTGTTTAATCAATTATCTGTGATATTTGTTAATATGTATTCCCTTACAAGTTCTCTTCATTGAGAGTTTATATTTTATCTTTCGATCATCATTCAGCATACTTGAACAATAATTGATCCCCTGCATCTATCCATATACCGGTATGACTATTTGGTATCTCAAACACCGATATCTCAAATACCATGGATATTTTGAATTCATTTGGAAATCTCAGTCACTATTTATGTACAATTGTATTTTACCTTCAATATCTTGAACCCTTGGATATCTCGAAGTTTTTCCACAGTCCCATCGAGTTTGAGATAACGAGGTTTGACTGTTATATATTTCAACTCTTGCTCATGTTCTACACAATCAAAGCTGGTTTTACAATTAAAGAATTGAAATAAAAAAACGGGTTGTTTTTATTTGAAGTACCAATCTATTTAATTTGTTAAGAAAATTGAATATACATGTATATAATTACAAATATATACCTGATACATTAAGCTGTTCAGTAAGTCATGGATAACATATACATACAGTGTAGTGTTATAGACAACAGTATAGTGCATGTTTTCTACATATATTTTCAGCCCAAAATCCGACTTTTTTTTCAATCATTGCAGTTCTCTACGTGTACCTATAATTCTCATTACATGAACAAGTTCTGACTTGTAAAACAAATTCTTATAACTAATTTTTAGCCATACATTCTTGACCATATTCATTCTAACTTAAAATATGAACATTCTCTAGTCATCTATACCCTGTCACCTGTGTAAACCGCTGAGTATGGAGGAGGGGATTCCACTCGATCTGGAAGGTCGATTTCGGGACGAACCAACAACCGGGATCTCTGAAAGTCATTGGATATGAAAGCATGTAACTTCAGTAAAGAGAAATCTTAATATGTTTTATTAATTAGAGTTGACTGACCTGACTTATAGATCCTGGAGTCGTGAGTAACTTGAAGACCATATAAATAGGAATCAGAGAAACAGACGACAGAGCCATGATACCGCCGATCACGTGAGCCCACGTGGGAAATTCATACTCTAGATACGTCACGGGCTTAAACTTGATAAAGCGGAATAATAGGACACCCTGAAATGTTTTACTCCATTTAATAAGTAATACGTGTATATATCAAGATCATTACTGGAAAGAGTTATATATATACCAATATTGAAATGAGTAAGTTGTTTGAAATTGAATTGCATTAAGTATAGAAGCAATATTATGTACACATACTTACTGCCGTCAGGGCAGGGGTCGAGACTACCCATGTAAATTTCCAGAATGATCTTGGATAATAACCTAACATACTGTGGAGATTTTCGTAGTACCGCTTGACACCTAATGAAAAGCTTATCTTATACAGTCATCACAAACATGTAAAATCATCAATCTTGGCATAATTTGAGAAATATAAAAAGATGTATTTTGATGCCCCATGAAGTACCGTATCCCCAAGAAACAGCTGTACATTCGAAGAAAATGAGGACAAGGAGACAGAGTCCGCTGGCTGAATAGTTATCAAACAGTTGGAACACGTACATACCACCCTGAAATGATACAAAGGAACCCAGTATCATATCGTCTTAAATGCACGCGAGTAAGATGAAGCCAGAAAAAGGAAAATTACGTGACAATTAAGAAATCACCTTAGTTACTAAATTTATGTATTGAAAAAAATAATTCTAATCAAAATGGAGTAACTACCTCGGTAACCATAGACAACCCAATCAGGTACGAGACAAAACAAACTACACCAATAAAGAATTCCCGCCTTTTTCTCAGAAGTCCTGGATATTCGTCTATCACAGCCGTAAAGAAACCCTCCATTGTACAGAACTTTGAAGAAAAAAGAATAAATTTTGAATGCCGTGGAAATAGTACCATTGATATGTTTGATGTTTTGAATTTCAATTTCAATAAAAGTGATACTAATATATCTGAAGAAATTGGGCAAATAGGACTTGCATATTAATATTCCTACAAATTACCTGACTATCCATTCCCAGTATCAACAACATCAGAAAGAAGAGTATGGCCCAGACTGGTGACATGGGAAGTTGTACCACAGCATTAGGGTACGCTAGGAAAGCCAATCCAGGCCCTTGATAGCAAAGAAAACAAGATGTGTTTGTGACTGATGCCCCCGTATGACAATTTATAGCAAAAATTAAACTTTCTCAAATGCAAATCAAATATGTTGATACCGAAAGTGAGGTCTTGTCTCGAGAAATATACCTGTGAAATATGAAAGCCCTAGCAGCAGCCATTGAATAGATATGGAAAAGATTAAAGTTTTTCAAAAGTAAGTCAAACATCAAGGTCAAATGGTCAAAATTAATGGTGCCAAAGGCCTCACATGAAATATGAAAGCCGCAGCACCAATCATTCAAAAGTTATGGCCAAGGTTAAAGTTTTTCAAAAGTAAGTCAAAATCCAAGGTCAAGGTCAATGGATTACAATTGTTGGTATCGAAAGGAAAGTCTTATCACAATGAATAGACCTGTTAGATATGAAAGCCCTAGTATCAACTGTTCAAAAGATATGGCCAAGGTTAAAGTTTTACAAAAGTAGGTCAAACTCGTAGGCAAGGTCAAGGAGTCAAAGTTATTGGTATCCAAAGGAAGGTCTTGTCACAAGGATTACATTTGTGAAATACATGTATGAAAGCCCTAGCACCAACCGTTCAAAAGTTATGGCCAAGGTTAAAGTTTGGTAAAAATTTTGCAAAACCTGGTCAACTCCAAGGTCAAAAGGTCAAATATGATGGAACCCACAGAAAGGTCTTATCACAAGGAAAACACATGTGATATATGGAAGCCATAGCTCCAACCAATCAAAAGTTATGAGCAATGTTAATTTTTTTGCGGACAAACAGACAGATCGACAGACTAGTAATATATCTGAACAAAAAAGAAATCTTAGATTGATCCATGGACATTTTTCCCTTGGGACGTTTTGAGGCTACAATGAAAAGTAATATGAATATTTCACGATTTTACATCGGTAATTTTTTGGTACCTGAGGCTGCGACATCGCTGACAGGTTTCTTTTGCTCGTAGGCCATAAAGCCAATGACAGAGAAGATGACGAATCCAGAGAACACACTAGTGGCACTATTCAGAAGGGAGATACAGATGGCATCTCTGTAAAGGAAAATTATTGTTTTCTTACCTGTATAAACATTGTTATTTTTGTATATTTTATGATATATACTAACATTTGAAGTTGAATTCGATCTATTTTTAATCATAACACCTCACCATGCTGACGATGTTCAAGAGGAATTTTCACTTAGCTTATACGGTCATTAATTTGCATTGACGTTGCATGTATGCCTAAAAGGCTTTTTAATACATCGGGGTCTTTTAAAAGTAAACTATAGTAGTTATATGTTCAATATATTGTTTTTAAAAAATGAAAACACTTAAAATTCTATAATAAATGAAAATCTTACTTGCAGACATTGTTATTATACTTGTTGTAGCTTCCCAATGCGATCAGTGTTCCCAGACCCAAGCCGTAGGAAAAGAAAATCTGAGTGACAGCATCTATCCACACCTGTTCAAGTAATTCACAATATACTTATCAGATCCTTTCAATAATGCCGTTGTCAAAATTTTCGGAGGGTTTTGGCATTGAAAGAGTGATGTCAGTGGCATAATGAAGATATGTAATGGATGGATGCAAAGGATTCCTCAAATACCTCAAAAGACCAAGGCTTACTACTGACCTTTACTTTTTATGAAGAGAAACCAATACTGATAGAAAAATTGGACGAGAAAAAAAATCGCAGAGGTTCAAAAGATCAAAGAAATTGAAAAGACCTGTATAAGAATAGACATTTTTTAAGACTGCACAATCCTTAACCACTCTCGAAGGAGAGCATTTGGAATCTTATGGTCAATTCAAATGATTCTCATATATTACATGCATAAAGTAGCAGTTATGACAGAAAACTAAGAATAACAAAACTGCTCTATGAAAACCATACGACTGATCTTAAATAAATCGGGATTGCTATATTCTCGTAAGATTATCAATGGAGTAAGCGAGGTCAGAAGTATCCATCAAAGAATCCTGGACATTTTAAAATATATGTACTAAGAAGAAGGAGTGAGGATGCTATGGAATCCAAAACAGAAAATTTAAATAAAAGTGTTGCTCAGTAAAAAAAAAAAATACGCAAAACTTTAGAACAATAAAATTTCTTCAGGAAAACAACTGGTAAAACCTGTTGAAACCCAAGATGGCGTTTAATGGATGATAAGGTTAATTGATCCAAGTACATCTACATGTATGTGTATATTGTAAAGCATAACCTTAGACACCTTTGGATCTTATACTGGATCACGTGGCTCCAAATCTGACCCATAACAGAGATAGACCTAATATAAATTTTAATGTCTCCTCTACCTACATGTATGTACCTTTTGGTTTTACTAAAAATAAAATCGAATGTTCTTAATGAAAAAATGTACAATTACAGAGAAATGGTTTCTGTTAAAGTGTTTCTCAAATATACCTGCGATTCGGAGAGTTTTCCTAGATCTGGATATACGTAGAATTTGATTCCTTCCAGAGCCCCAGGAAGCGTAACGCCTCGAATCAGGAGTATGAACATGAGAACATAGGGAAAACATGCGGTGAAATAAACAACCTAAAACAAATGATAGAACATTTGTTATACACTTTATATTGATATGTTAACAGCACTCATACGTCGTTAATGATATATTTTTTTTATCAGTTACGAACTTATGGTATAAAGCAATATCAATCTTCATAATTCTTTTTAGTGATGGGCGAACTGCGCATGGAGAAGAAATAATAATAGTTAGTACCCTTCCAGTCCACTTTACTCCTTTCCAAATACAGAAGTAGCAGAGAATCCACACAACCAAAAGACAGATTGACAACTCCCAGCGCAGAGTTCCAGGTATGCCAACATCACTGGTTATCCGCAGAGTATTGCGTCTGGAAAAAAAAGAGCTGTGGTTAACCGAGCTTATAATATTCTGAATACTTCTATACTATGCATAGCGCTCAATGTGTATTTTATGTACATTTATTCATTATTTTATTTTTCTATCATTTAATTGTTATCTTACTCCCAGAATTCTCGAACTGGAGAAGTGTATTCAACAGAGGAGCAATTCAGACCATCTGTTGACCAAATCGATGAATTTCTGCCACCAGATGTTAAATTCTGAGAGTACCAAGCCGTCCCATTAGAACAGTTGAGGACTTTGAATTCTCTTTTGTAATCAGACAAGCAGAGGGGAGTATTCCAAGGGTTGTCACAGGTAGCCCAAGGAAGAGGGTCAGCGAAGGAGTGATAGAGGTAGTAAATAGCCCACGCCAAAATTACAATGTAGTAGATGTTTAACCAGGCTGCTATTACAGCAGAAGCATAGCCGATACCTATATAAATGTAGACCGTTGGAAATGTACTAAACTTGTATGTCTCAAACTTGAAATCGAGACATTTTTTTTAAATTTGTGAATAACAAAAGCAATGATTAATGGCTGAACAAAAATGCATGCATGAAATACTTAATCTTGTACGTAAATCTGCAGGACAAAGGTAAATATCATGTAATAATAATATTCTCTTCTTTTTTTTTTATATAAATGAAGATATTTTCAAAATAGTTTTTATCTGTATATAATGTCCATTTTAATCCACAGCAACTCTTTAATTTACCTTAAATTTGTCTTCTGTAAATCAATAAAATTGTTTGATATTATAGTTTTATTTGAATCTTTGATATGCTGAGTCTTGACCAGAAAGTTCAATTTGCAGACTTCTAATATTGAAGCTGATGTCATTTTTTCACAAGATTGCTGTTATGTATTCCCGTACCTTTGAAAAGTGGACAAATTTTCCACACACCGAGCCCACCTATACTCAACCATTGTCCCAGAGACAGTTCCAAGAAGTACATAGGTATACCAGCGAAAATTGCCGTCAGCAGGTATGGAACAAGGAACGCACCTTTTTATATATAAATATAACCCTTAGTCTCTTGAAGCCAAAGGAATACTATACATGTTGTAATTTATGATTGTAATTTACCTAAAAAGATTACCTTTTGCCAATAGAAAAAGATCAATTACAATTTTATGAATTTCTGCCTCAAAATACACGACTGAAAAAATATTTGTGGCCAATATAATTTTAAATGAAGGTGACTATGTTGACTTCCGTTCGTACGCAAAACTTTTATGCATAAGTATATAAAAGATAAATGATGCATGTAATTAACACCCGAAAATCCCTCCTATTGTTTATAAGGACATTGCCGGGTATACATTAACATAATACAATATACCGTAAATAAATACATTTTCAGCCATTTCTAAACTAGACTGAAGCTAGCAGCCAATAACAGCAGCCATTAAGCCCGTAGAAGCTAGCAGCCACTAAGGAAATTCATCAAAGGACTGAGAGTACTCTGACGCAATACTGTTTAATGCCTCATTTTCGACAATTTATAATTAATAATTAGATAATTAATGCAACACTTAATTATTAATTAATAATTCAAACACTTGGAGGCAGTTAAGCTCACCTGCATAAGGAAAATTATGCGGTTTCACAACAAACAAACAAACAAACAAAAAGAAGAAAATGTCACCATCTTTGACCGCTTAAGAATAAAACAGCATTGGATAGGTTAAGTACTTCCGGGAGAATCCCTTTTAGGCTCTTTTACGGGTCTCAGGAACATGATGGTGCCAAAAGGCTAACCTGAAATTTGCTTACTCCTAATATTTACATTGATAAGGGTTTGAAGGTAATTTAATCTATTTTAAGTTATGATCCTTGAAGTGTGCTTCGAACAATTACTGGCTCAAGGTAAAAGGGTCCACAGGGCTATTATATACGGCCATAAAATTTAGGCTGAAGTGGTACCACCAAGTGGTGCCAAGGGCAGGTTACGTATTTCAAGCAGCTATTATACCTCTTATCTTATAAGTGTGCTTTAAATCATTACTGTGCAAGATAGAAGATTTCTAGGACTATCTTTCCCGCAATCGGTTTGAGGCTGTAACGGCACCACCAAGTGGTGCCAACGGTGGGGAACATCTTTCATGCTTTCATTTTTCAACCATCATTGACCACTAGAACAAACTAACACTAAACTGGAAAAAAGTTAAGGGCCTTAGGGAGTATCCTTTGTCAACTTTTTGACAGGTTCCAATGACTAGAAAAGGCCAGTTAGGTAACCTGAACTTTGTTGTTTTTCACATTGTCTATTGATATACGGATTAAAAGTCAGATGTTATACCCCTTATCTTTGAAGTGTGCTTCAAATCATTACTGGGGCAAGGTAGAGGGCCCCTAGGACTATCATTTCCCGCTATCAGAATGGGGCTGTAGTGGTACCACCAAGTGGTGCCATGGGTGGGGGACGTAATTCAAGCATTCATTTTGAAAGCATCTTTGACTACTAGAACAAAGTAACACTAGTGAAAGGTTAAGGACCTTAGGGAGAACCACTTGTCAGGTTTTGGAAGTGTCCCTAGGAAAGGAAGGGGCCAGTAAGCTAACCTGAAATTTGTTGTTTTTCACATTGTGTTTTAATATACGGGTTAAAGGTCAGCTATTATACCTCTTATCTTTGAAGTGTGCTTCAAATCATTACTGGGGCAAGGTAGAGGGTCCCTTGGACTATCAATTCCCGCTATCAGAATGTTGCTGTAGTGGTACCACCAAGTGGTGCAATGGGTGGGGGACGTATTTCAAGCATTCATATTGAAAGCATCTTTAGTTACTAGAACAAAGTAACACTAGTGAAAGGTTAAGGACCTTAGGGAGAACCACTTGCCAGGTTTTCGAAGGGTCGTGTTGAAGAAAAATGGCCGGTAAGCTAACCTGAACTTTGTTGTTTTTCACATTGTGTTTCAATATACGGGTTAAAGGTCAGCTATTATACCTCTTATCTTTGAAGTGTGCTTCAAATCATTACTGGGACAAGGTAGAGGGCCCTTAGGACTATCATTTCCCGCTATCAGAATGTTGCTGTAGTGGTACCACCAAGTGGTGCCATGGGTGGGGGACGTATTTCAAGCATTCATTTTTAAAGCATCTTTGACTACTAGAACAAAGTAACACTAGTGAAAGGTTGAGGACCTTAGGGAGAACCACTTGCCAGGTTTCTGAAGGGTCCTGAAAAAGAAAAAGGGCCAGTTAGCTAACCTGAACTTTGTTGTTTTTCATTTGTGTTTTAATATATGGGTTAAAGGTCAGCTATTATACCCCCTTAACTTTGAAGTGTGCTTCAAATCATTACTGGGACAAGGTAGAGGGCCCCTAGGACTATCATTTCCCGCTATCAGAATGTTGCTGTAGTGGCACCACCAAGTGGTGCCATGGGTGGGGGGCGTATTTCAAGCATTCATTTTGAAAGCATCTTTGGTTACTAGAACAAAGTAACACTAGTGAAAGGTTAAGGACCTCAAGGAGAACCATTTTCCAAGTTTTTGAAGGGTCCCGGGGAAGTAAAGAGGCCAGTAAGCTAACCCGAACTTTGTTGTTTTCACATTGTGTTTTAATATATGGGTTAAAGGTCAGCTATTATATCCCCTTAACTTTGAAGTGTGCTTCAAATCATTACTGGGACAAGGTAGAGGGCCCTTAGGACTATCATTTCCCGCTATCAGAATGGGGCTGTAGTGGTACCACCAAGTGGTGCCATGAGTGGGGGGCGTATTTCAAGCATTCATTTTGAAAGCATCTTTGGTTACTAGAACAAAGTAACACTAGTGAAAGGTTAAGGACCTCAAGGAGAACCATTTTCCAAGTTTTTGAAGGGTCCCAGGGAAGTAAAGAGGCCAGTAAGCTAACCCGAACTTTGTTGTTTTTCACATTGTGTTTTAATATACGGGTTAAAGGTCAGCTATTATACCCCCTTAACTTTGAAGTGTGCTTCAAATCATTACTGGGACAAGGTAGAGGGCCCTTAGGACTATCATTTCCCGCTATCAGAATGGGGCTGTAGTGGTACCACCTAGTGGTGCCATGAGTGGGGGGCGTATTTCAAGCATTCATTTTGAAAGCATCTTTGGTTACTAGAACAAAGTAACACTAGTGAAAGGTTAAGGACCTCAAGGAGAACCATTTTCCAAGTTTTTGAGGGGTCCCGGGGAAGTAAAGAGGCCAGTAAGCTAACCCGAACTTTGTTGTTTTTCACATTGTGTTTTGATATACGGGTTAAAGGTCAGCTATTATACCCCCTTAACTTTGAAGTGTGCTTCAAATCATTACTGGGACAAGGTAGAGGGCCCTTAGGACTATCATTTCCCGCTATCAGAATGTTGCTGTAGTGGTACCACCAAGTGGTGCCATGGGTGGGGGACGTATTTCAAGCATTCATTTTTAAAGCATCTTTGACTACTAGAACAAAGTAACACTAGTGAAAGGTTGAGGACCTTAGGGAGAACCACTTGCCAGGTTTCTGAAGGGTCCTGAAAAAGAAAAAGGGCCAGTAAGCTAACCTGAACTTTGTTGTTTTTCACATTGTGTTTTAATATACGGGTTAAAGGTCAGCTATTATACCCCTTATCTTTGAAGTGTGCTTCAGATCATTACTGGGACAAGGTAGAGGGCCCCTAGGACTATCATTTCCCGCTATCAGAATGTTGCTGTAGTGGTACCACCTAGTGGTGCCATGAGTGGGGGACGTATTTCAAGCATTCATTTTGAAAGCATCTTTGGTTACTAGAACAAAGTAACACTAGTGAAAGGTTAAGGACCTCAAGGAGAACCATTTTCCAAGTTTTTGAAGGGTCCCGGGGAAGTAAAGAGGCCAGTAAGCTAACCCGAACTTTGTTGTTTTTCACATTGTGTTTTAATATACGGGTTAAAGGTCAGCTATTATACCTCTTATCTTTGAAGTGTGCTTCAAATCATTATTGGGGCAAGGTAGAGGGCCCCTTGGACTATCATTTCCTGCTATCAGAATGTTGCTGTAGTGGTACCACCAAGTGGTGCCATGGGTGGGGGACGTACAGTCCCTGAAACGTTCTACTTTCCCACTTGAACGGTGAGCGAACGCTGAACGAACGGTGAACGAACGCAGAGCGAACGGTGAGTGAACGATGTGTGAACGCTGAACGCAACTTGGTGAACGATGTGTGAACGGTGAACGGTGAGTGAACGCTGAACGCGAACGGAGCGCAAACGCGAACGCAAAGTGAACGCTGAACGAACGGTGAACGCAAGCTGAACGATATATTCGGAATGCCTCTGATCTTTTCCTTGCATTGAAACTATTTTATTGTATTATAATTTCAGGTGCCAAATAAATAAATAAATAAATAAATAATAAATAAATAAATAAGTAAACCAATAAATGAATGAATAAATAAGTCAATAAAATAAATTCTCCAAAATTGTCCTAAGAAAGACGATGCATGCACATTAAGTTTTTAATCACACGATTTTTATCGCATTAAAACATTGCAATTGTTGCCGAACGCTGAAGTATAAAAGATATTTTTTAGTTGGAAAATAAAAATGTTTATTCTTATTTGATAACAAATCAGAGAAAACTTCTGACTTATAGAATGAATTAAAGCGGTTGTAACATCCATTCATATATCTCCGTGTCAAGGCGATTTCGTGTAAAGTAATGAAAAAAAAAATTAATTACAAAGGTCAGTGGACGTTTTGCATTTATACGCTCGTATTTTACATTTTTAATACAATAATATATTATGTGTCATTTCTATTTTTCATGATGATTTATTGAGCAGACTTCTACATGTATATGTAGATGGCCGTGGTTATACTCGGACAAGATAATACAAAGATACATATTCATATTATTTGTTATAAATTCAATTTACAGAACTTGATATTTAAGTAATATGCTGTTATAGTTTTTATTAAACAGACAAGAGAGAGAGAGAGAGAGAGAGAGAGAGAGAGAGAGAGAGAAATATTCCGTTTAGCCCCCCCCCCTCCTTTCAGGCTTCACTAAGTG